TAGTAATACTTTCGTTTTATTTAACCTTCAATTTAAAATGTTCACATTAAAAGTAATCAATAAAATAAACCAAAAAAAAAGGAAAATAAAGAGAGAGGTAAAAAAGAGAGTAAAGAGAGAGGTAAAAAAGAGAGTAAAGAGAGAGGTAAAGAAGAGAGTAAAGAGAGAGGTAAAAAAGAGAGTAAAGAGAGAGGTAAAAAAGAGAGTAAAGAGAGAGGTAAAGAAGAGAAGAAAGAGAGAATATTTGAAGAAATTGAATATTTAAAAGTTACATTTTGTTATTTTTTTTAGATTTTCAAAAGAAAAGTAAAGAGAGAGGTAAAAAAGAGAGTAAAGAGAGAGGTAAAGAAGAGAGTAAAGAGAGAGGTAAAGAAGAGAAGAAAGAGAGAATGTTTGAAGAAATTGAATATTTAAAAGTTACATTTTGTTATTTTTTTTAGATTTTCAATACACTCACAAATGATAATAAAAGCTTTTCGTCCTTTTTTTTTTTTTTTCATTCTCTTTCAAAGAATATAAAATGATTGGAAGAAAAAAAAAAAATGAAAGAAATAAATTTATTCTTAAAAAAATATTTTTTTTTTTTTTAAAAAAAAGATTTTTTACCTGGCCTATTTATTGATAAAAATACCTCTATCATTCCATTTGTCTCTTTCATTTTTACACAGACTGTAATTACAGGTAAAAATTGTAACCGTGTCGGTCATCTTTTTTTTTTTTTTTCAATTTTTCATTTTAATTTTGTTATTTCTTGAATTTGCATAATGGTCATTTTCTCATCTCAAAATGTATTTGTTAAATTAGAAATTTCAATTTCTTTTTTTTTTTTTTTAAAAAAAATTTTTATAAAATCTTAATTAGATTTTATCAGTAATAATAAATTATTTTTTTTTCATATCAGTTCAGTTTTGAGAATTCCGAATATATTAACAAAATAAATTAACAATTGAAATTCTCATATGAAGTGGAAAAGATTGATTTGTTTTTATTTAAAAAAAAAAAGTATTAATAATTATTTTAGGAATTTATTAATAATTTATTAACTTCAATATTACTTATATCATTATAAGTTTAATCATTGTCTTCTTATCATTATATCTCCAGTTATCAGCACCTATCACTAAAATCATTATAGCTGTTATCAGTTAATCAGCAAAAAAAAGGTGAAAATTTATTAAAATTCTTGAAATTTATGAATGATAGTATTTCATTTCTGATTTTTCTTAGTAATATCATAAAAAAAAAAAAAAAAATTTATTTCCTTTTTTTTTTTTGAAAGATTTGTGTGGAAATATTTACAAACGAAAAGAAAGAAAAGAAATGTCAGAAGAATTTTAAGAGAAAAAAACAATTTTTTTTTTTTTTTTAAATCTTTATTTAAAAGTACAAGAATCATTTAACTCTAAAACTTAAAACATTTTCTTAAAATTTAAGTAAAAGAAGAGTACTTCCTTCTTTTTCGCTTTTTTTTTTTTTTTTTTAAATTTTATTTTCAGCAAAATTTAATCGAAATATATACCCATCGTATCATTTTATTACAGTATAATGTTTGCTTGCATTCATTCAATCTATTTTAAAATGATTTCAATGTTTTTTTTTTAGTAGGTTCAAGCTAACTTTTTAATTGTATTTTATTGAATTTTGTTAAAATTTTTTGATCATTTCTCTTCAAATAAATACGATTAAATTATTCAAATTAATTTGATTGATTATAGAATTATCTAAATATTAATTAAAATTTAATTCTTATCATTTTTGTATTAAATCATTAGTTTATGTATTTTATTTACATCATTAACATTTTTTTTTATCAGTTTATCAACGAATTAAACTTACTTACTGTGATAATATGATTAGTATATCATAAACTTTAATTCATAACATTCCATTTTTTTTTTACATTTTGAAAAATTAAGTAAAAAAAAAAAAATAGTTTGAAATTTTATATTTTTTTATTGTAATATAAATTTAAGTAAACAGATAAGTAAAGAAGAAAGAGAATTTTATGATTCATTAAGAAATTAAAAATAGTATTTCCTAAATTTTTGACTTCGCTTCTTCTTCTTCTTCTTCTTTTAATTGTTAAGGTAAGAAAATTCATCAAATGTCTTTTAATTTCTACTTCTCTTTACGATCTGTAAAACTGGTAATTGATAAGTGATAAGTGATTAAACTATTTCTGAAATTTCATCTAACCATATCTAATTGATATGTTTCTCTTATACTTTTTCTAAATTAAATAATTTTATTTATTTTTTTTTTTTTTCATTAAAAAAGATGGGTAGAATAATTTTAAATTTCAGGCTAAAATTACTTTCTAAAAACTAAATTCAAATTAAATTTTTAAATTAATTAATTTTCAGTCTTTTTTTTTTGTTTGTTTTTATCGAATTATTTTCCTCATGTTATTGCTGTTTTCGTCATCAACACTTTTTTTTTTTTTTATTATTTTTTAAAATTAATAGGATGTAATTCTCGAAGAAAAATTCATTTGTCTTCCTATTAACCATTTTCTTTCCTGTTTCATTCGTTGAAATGAAAAATGTTCAGTGCTTAAAAGACCGGATCCGGTTCGGTTCTATTATCTGTTAGCAAATCACAATAAGCATAAATTCCAATATGATTGAAACTCTGAACAAAATTGCTTTGGTATTAAATGAAACTAAATGAAATAGATTTTTCAATCGGTTAATTAATTTATCATTTTAAAATTAATATGATTTAATGTTAATCCAAAAATTAACATCGCTCATTTGTTTAATAATAAATGAAAAGTTGTATTCAGAATTTAAATTTTATTCCATCTAATGAAATGACAAAATTACAAATAGCTTTTTTGATTTTTGATTTAAATTATAATCAATTTTCTCACATTTCATTTTACAATTTACACTTACAGTTTTCATTTCATTGTAAAAGTGAAAAAGTATTTGATTAATTCAAATGATTATGAAAATTATTTTCATTTTCTGTGATAAATTTTTAGTAAAATTTTAAAAATTTTTCAAAAGTAAACTTTTAGCAGTAATTTGCAAAATTTACTAAGATTTAAAATTTAAATTAGATTACACATAAATTTCAAAGTCAATCGAAAGTAACCAGTTTTTCACTTTCTATGATAAATTTTTAGTAAAATTTTAAAAATTTTTCAAAAGTAAACCTTTAGCAGTAATTTGCAAAATTTACTAAGATTTAAAATTTAAATTAGATTACACATAAATTTCAAAGTCAATCGAAAGTAACCAGTAATATTTCTATTAATGAAGGAATTATATAATTCCTGTATTATCCACATTTCATCAAAACTTCTCCAAACGAAACGAAATCAATTGTCGCTTAACAAAATTTGACCTTGCAAAAATTTTCAAAAGTAATAATTTCAACATTATATTGATGCAATGAGCCGGAAATATACAAAACCGGCAAAAGAAAAAAACTGGAAATTGTTCCGAAGGAAAGCAACGGAATGGATTTGACATCGTTAGATCAAATACACCTTTTCTTTCTTTCTTTTTTCTTTTTTTTTTATTATTACCAAAAACAACAGTACAATAAATTTTATAAAGAAGAATTGAAGTGCAAATGGTATTGTGACAATTTAATGGATGTGACAATTTAGTGACAATGTTGAATATATATAAAATTTTGATTGACATAAAAAGAAAAAACGAAAAACATATTTGATGGTGGAAATGGGTTACAATTGTAATTAGTTATCAAATAAGAAATTTAACCATTTGAATTAGTTTTTTTTTTTTTTTTTTTAGCTGTAAAGAGAAATGAATTAAATTTAGTTGATTAAGAATAACAACAACAAAAGCGACAGCAACAAAAACAACAACAACAAACAAAAAAAATAAGAACAACAAACAACAACAACAAACAACAAAAGCCACAACAACAATGAAGCATGAGAAAAATGATTTTAAAAATGTATATTTATTTACATGATTCATAACATTTATTTACAATCTGAATGATTTATTTACTATTCGCGACAACTATAGCTATTTTTGAAGTAGCACAAATATAATTAGCTACTTAATTATCAATATGCAAATGAAAATTTTTATCATTTGACTCAATGATTATTTTAATTTATTATTTTATGATTCAATTTTACTGAAATATCTATCTATCTTGAAACTATTCATTAGGTTGTTGTCATCCTGCAAAAAAATTTTTAGTTTTTGAAAAATATTTTAGTAAATATTATTTCTAAAAAAAAAAAAAAAAACAAAAGTAGGTCTAGAAATGATAAATCAGAGATATCATAATTTCAACTTCACTGCTTCTAAAATTATAATTTAAGCACATATCACTTCATAAATGATCACTCATAGAATTCTCGACAGTTTGAAAGTTGATCTTAAAAAAAAAAAAAATTTGTATTCCAAATATTATTAAAAATGAAAAAAAAAAAAAAAAAAGCATTCTGAGAGAGAAATTTATTGAAAAATTATAAAATAAGAATGAATTATTGTTTCATCAAATGAATGTTATTGTGCTATTTTTTTATTAAAATTACTAAATTTCTCAATTTTTTTTTTTTTTTTTTACTAAAAATTTATTACTTACCTTTTTCTTTTTTTTTTTTTCTGTAACTTAATTTTTGCAATTTTCTTTCTACTTTATGATATTTATATACTTTCAACTAGTATTTAAATTTTTTTAAAATATTATTTTTATTTTCCACTTACATTAATAAATATTATTTTTAGTTTTCAAATTTCTTTTTTCAAGTCAAATATTATGTATTTAAAAAAAAAAAAAAACTTATGCTTATAGATGCGTGTTTTTTTTGCGTTATTTTACATTTAATTTATAATTACAAAGTATGAATTGTGCATTTGCTATTTGATTTAAATATAAATTATTTTGCAGTGAAAAAGAGGTTAAAGTTCAAAGAGAAGTCAAAAAAAAAAAAAAAAAAAAAAAAAAAAAAAGAAAAACAGAAAATTTATAATTCGGGTGGTTACGAATAACATATTTAATTTGATATGGGGATAATCAAAGCATTGGAAAATGTAATTGCTAAACATTTCAAAATTCTGGGTGCCTTCATTGGAAGGCAACCAATTCGGATAATCGTCACAATGCTGCTTATGACGAGTTTAATGAGCCTAGGAATGTTAAGGCTCATTGAGGTTAATAATGTTAGGACTGAATATTCACCCAGTGATGCACCTAGCAGAATTGAATATGCTGTTGCTATGAATTTTCTTGGACAGGTAAATACTACAAAAATTAATTATTTTGAAAATATTACAAGAAGAATTCTAGGCTTTTTTAAAGATAAGTAACGCTTAAAAATAGAATTAAAAATGATAAATTAAAAATGGACTAGTAGGATTTCCTTTTTTCCTTTTTTTTTTTTTTTTTTTTTTTCACGTTATTTAGGTATTATTTGAAAATGATAAAATGAAATTTCAACACATTTTAAATTTGATTTTAAGAAATGTCTGAAATATATATATTTTAGACTTTTGCTTATTTTTCATTACTCAAAATATTCAAAAAGAAGTTTATACGTTTATAAAATAGAAATAAAATTTCTACTTTTTTTTTTTTATATGACGAATAAGTTTCGTTGAATTGAATTAATAACAAAAATATGTGTTATCTGAATTTTCAACTAACTTTTAAATTACTTCCAATTTTTATAACTTAAAAAAAATTTTTTTTTTTTTGAATATTAAAGCAATTTCTGAAATGATATTAGGATTAGCAATAATGCCTGTTGATGATTTCAGAATGGTACACTGGATCCGGTATACGTTTTAATTGAAGCACGTGACTATGGATCGTTATTGCGTGACAAATATCGGAAAGCATTAATGCAAGTAATTAAACAAATTCAATCAAATATTACAATTCAACACAATGGTCAACAATACGGTTTTAAAGAGTTATGCGAGCCATATTGTGAATTAAACTCCGCTTTTATGGCATTTTTAAGACTTTATGATCCAACAAATCAAATTACACATACATATCCAAATATTGATCTTTTTGGATCACAAATTTTCATCGGTAAGTAATCTTTATTTTAATTTTATTTTAAAATAAAACATACTAAATTAATCATAATTAAAATGCTGTTGTAATTTTGTGTATTTTTTGTAGCAATTAGTACTTTTTACATGTAATAGTAGTGGTAGTAAAAGTAGAAAAGAGAATTTGAAAAGATTTAAAAAAAAAAAAAGAGAAAATTGTGAAACATACAAAGACACAAAGACAAAAAAAAAAAAAAGCACTGATAATATCTATTGTAACTAAAAAATTTTGTTAGATGCTAATTGTTTTGTGTTCAACAGAAATTGTAATGAATTTAAAATGATGACGAAATGAAGGGAAGAATTTAATGTAAACTGTTTTTTCGTTTTTTTTTTTTTTCTTTTCCAATTTTTTTATAAATAAAATTTTCTGACGACATTGCAATTTCTATTTTGTATTACTCATTTTGTTTTGTTTTTTTATTTTAGTCTTTTCTTTTATCTATCTTTTTTTAATTGTGTAAAATTTGATTATCATTTATTTAATTAATTACAAAGCTTTTTTTTTTTTTTTTTTTTTGTTGTTGTTGACCTCTCTGGGTCGAAAATTTCCTTTGAAAAAATTTTTTTCTAATTGTACAAATATAATAGAAACTGACGATATTATTTCTATCGTACATTTGTAATTGTTGAAATAAATTGAAAATATTATTTGAATAAGCAATCAGAACTAATTGAAAAATATCAATTAAATTGTATTTCTTTCAAAAAAAAAAAAAAAAAAAAAAAAAAAAAATCATATATGAAATAATCCTACCAATATTTTAAACAATCGAGAACTTAAGTGACCTTGAAATCGTAGCTGAGAAAAGAGTGTTACTTAGAATTAATAGTGTTTACTAAATTTCTTCAAATTAATTTTTGAATTTAATATTTTCTATGATTAATTTTTTTCTTTTTTTTTTATTTTTCAGGGAATAATGTTTACAGTGTGGAACTTAAAGAGGGTACCAATTTTATCAAATCATTCTCAACCGCAGTTATTGAATTGTTTATTAGCGCACCGGAAGAAAAAATTCTGTACGAATGGCAATTGGAAATAAAACGACAATACAATGAGGAGGAATTTCGATTGTTTACTGTAAAAAAATAAAATTTATTTTATGGAAAAGTTTTTTTCCTACAATAAATTTCAAAAATTCTTATCAAAATTAATTACTTGATATATTATATAATAACAAATGTCTACCGAAATTGATAATTATCATTGTAAAATTTTAATAGAAAAAGCACTACACTTAATAATAATAATTTAACTTATTATTTTTTATCATATTCTTTTGATTTATTTCTTCATTCATTTGTTTACATCTATTTGTTGATTTCAAATTCTAAGCGTTTTATTTTCATATTTTAGTAATTTTGTGAGCTTTTTTTTTCCACACCTATTGTAACAATTTTATCATCGGCTCGAAACTTTTTTTAATTTTTGCTGCTTACTTGTAATATTAAAATAATTTATTAATAAAACTTATTAATAAAGTCAATTTTGATTTTAAAACTTTTTTACTAGTCACAAAAATTGAATTAATTTATTTCAGATTGGTCTCACTAGTGATTGCTTAGTTTCTGCAGAAGTTCGTCGGATGGGTCTAGAAACTACGCCAGTTCTTTTTGGCTCAATTTGTATTATGATACTTTTTGTTGTGGTCACATCGATCAGGTGAATTATATCAGATTTAAATTTCATTTTAACATTTACATTTCTAAATCTTGCTAGAATTTTTTTTTTTTTTTAATCCAATTCTTTAATTAACTCTAATTTTTACAGATAATAATTGTCATTGATTAACCACTATTTGTCTTAAGAATATTGAAAATTAAGAAAATCAAAACTAATTTAGCAGTAGTATTTTGCTGACCTCATACACTAAGGTATAAGAAATTCTTTTCGAATGAAGTTGACCTTTCAATAATATTACATTTCTACAGCATTACTGATGACAAAAAAAATCTATGAATAAACTAACCTAACACTAAAGTATAGAAAATTGACAAAAAAAAAAAAAAAAAAAATTATAATTGAAAAAAAAAAGGTACAATCAATATAATATGGTATTATTATCGTATTTGTATAGTTATTTCCAATATGTATAGTTATTTTCAAAACAAATATGTTAATTAAATTAAAAAAAATACAGGGAAAATCCGTTAAAAAGTAAACCATGGGAATCGCTTATTGGTAGTTTAATACCAATTCTCGCAATTTTAATGTCAACTGGTATACTGTCACTCTGTGGACTTCGATATCAGTCAATTGTTGCTGTGACATATTTTTTGGTATTATCTGTTGGTGTTGATGACGTATTTATTATACTACGTGCATGGGATCGAATAAGTATTGCAACACCAATACCAGAACGATTAGCTAAAACATTAGAAAATGCTGGGCCTTCAATTACAATTAGGTAAGAAAGTTCTTTTTAACAAGTTATTAGAATTTTAATATTTAACCAATATGCACAGTAAAATATTTTCATCCAATTTATCTCTAAATTATGCATTTTTGCAACTTTTTTTTTTTTTTTGATTTTATGTTAATTGTAAATTTCATTAAAATTTCTCATATGGAATGGAACAAAAGAGAAAGAAAAACTTTTTTTTTTTAGTTCACTTACCAATGCTTTATCATTTGGCATTGGTATCTTTTCATCAACGCCAGCAGTACGTACATTTTCAATTTATTCGTGCTTTGCTATTATTGTTTGTTATTTCTTTCAATTAATTTTATTTACTGCAGTATTAGCTGTAAGTGGTAAACGTGAACAGAATAATTATCAAGCATTATTTTGCTGTTTAAAAGCTGATCCTAGAGTAAGTTTTCATTCCTAAATTTAATTCATAATGTAAACTTTAGTTTTATTAAAATAATGTAAACTTTAGTTTAAAAAAAAAGAGTTTTATTAATTAGTTGTAAAAAAGAAATTACAATTAATTGATGAAATTATAGCTTGCATTATTAAATTAAAATGGATTTTTTTTAAGGCGCGGAATCGAACTGCTGAAAAGATAACGCAATTTCAAAGTTGGCTTATAAAATTATGGTCTTTTATAATAACGACATGGTCTGCAAGGTAATTTTTTTTTTATCATGGGAATTCTTTATTTTAGAAAAAAAAGCGGAATGGTATCTTTTTTTTTTAGATAGATAAAAAATATTTGAGTCTTATGAAAAAACAAAACGAAAGACACATTTATGCGGAATATTTTTTGGACAGATTATCGAGAAGTATGATTAATCGTGATTATTTTTTCTCTTAAGCTATTTTTTGATAAATTTCTAAATTTATCAGTTAATTAAAGATCGGCACTTGATAACTTATAGAGCATTACTTATGGCGGTGTTAGCAATATATTATTATATATCTCTTCTGGGTATTCTGAAAATGGAAGCTAAAATTTCGGTCGAAAAAATGGCTCTTCCGGATTCATATCTTCACAATTTTCAATTTGTTCTTGAAAAAGCTCTTCAAAGTATGCAACCAATTACTATTTTTGTTATGAATCCAGGTGATCTAAGAGATCCTGATCGACTTAATGGTAATGTTTTTTTTTCAAACTTCTATAAAGTTTTATTTTTGATGTATCATTTTTTCTTCTTTTCACTTTCAATGAGTAACAAAATTACAAAAAATTAAGCATAATAATTGCAACGGAAGAGTAGCCGAAAATTATGTAAAAGCAAATTTAGAATTTCTTTCTTACTGCTCTGTTTGCTTGTGAAACAAAGTAGATTCCCTTTCTTGACAGTTCAGGTCGTTGACTTCTTTGTCTTCGATACTGCTAGATTCTCGAATCTGTACTGGTTCCGTTCTGTGTAAGTGTACTGTGAGAGTCTTCGTGAAATACTTTATTATTCAAACTTCAAATTTGAGTAATTAAAACTACAGATTAATATTAAAAATTACAACATACAATAATGAATTGACACATAACACACAAATGTAACTCAGTTATAAAACATTTAAAGATATAAGCAAGCTAGACACCTCGCAACCGAGCCATACCAAACAAAGAACTATAATGAATGGCTTTGTAAGGAAGGAAATTGGGAGGGATTTTATGGATGCTAAGGTTACAAAGTGGATTAAAAGCACTTTGAACAATAGTCTTTGTTCACTACGTTATAGCTTCGCCATTGTGACGACAAATCATTGGTTTATCAAGTGAATTCCTATTTTCTTTAATACCAGTTATCTAGACTGGAATCATCAATTTGAATTTCATAAGTTAACTTTGAAATATTTGAATAAATTGAAATGGAAATGAGAACATCAGGGTATCATTTAGTTGTTGTAATAAAAATTTTAGGTATTAAATCATTGGTATCAGAATATGAGCATAGTCTTCATAGCTATGGAAATAAATCGACACTCTTTTGGCTTCAACAGTATAATGAATTCTTATCGTAAGTTTAAACTTTATTTTATCACATTTCAGATTAATTTTTTTGATAAAATAAATGATTAGAAAGAAAATGAAATGAAATGAACTAAACTAATTGACCAATAATTTAAGGCATATATATTTTAGATTTTATGGTGAATCAGATGAATTCACATATACAGAAATTCCGGCATTTTTTAAATCTGCAACATATTTTTTCTTTAATACATTTGTGCATATGAACGAAACTGCTTGTTATAACAATCAACCGGAATGCATTACTTCTTTCTTTTTTATCACTAATTTTCATGGGGTTTGTACTTTCATCAAAATTAGTAAACTAGAAATTCATCTTTTATAAAAAAAAAAAAAACTATTAACATTTTTATATTTTATAAATAACAGAAATTATAAGTATTTCTTGTGTACTAAACATAAAATTTTTATTCAAAAAAAAATAATTTATTTGTTAAATTCACTAAAAATTTTTCAGGTTATCAGATATGAAAAAATGATACCAGCTGTTGTTGACTGGAGACGTATAGCAGCAAAATATTCCGATTATGGAGTATATCCATATAGTGATCATACTCCCTTCGTTGACCAAGTATTATTACTTTGATAGTAAACATATAATTAGATGATATTCTAAGAGTAGTCGTAAATTTCTAATCATTATTTACTTAATAATAATTAATGCAAAGAAATGATTTCTGCTTAGTTTTGTTGTTAAATAATAATTTTGTCTAAAGTTCAGCACAAATTTTCATGTGGAATTTGAAGAATTAACAAAAAAAAAAAAAAAAAAAATATAAAAATTCTTTTTCATCTGGATTGAACTTATCAAATCACAAAATTAACATCTTTTAAATCTTTAGTTTAATTGCAGATTTATACTGATTCTACAGTGTATTATGGTTTTTAAACAATACTTAATTACCCCACTACCCCATTTATACTTCACTAATTAATTTAATTAATTAATTAATTAATTTCAATCATTTAGACCATAGCAATCAAAGGAACTATATTGTGGAGTGTGATAGCAGCTTTGTGTTGCTCGGCAACAGTCTGTTTCATCTTTATTCCAAATCTAATCAGTATTGGCTGCGTGGTTTTTTCAGTATTCAGTATTAGCTTTGGCATATTTGGTCTGTTATCACATATGGGAGTAGACTTGGATCCGATCACTATGGCTGCACTTCTAATGGCGATTGGATTTTCAGTGGATTTTACAACTCACATTAGCTATCATTACTGTAGAACAACAGCTAAGGTTCTTCTATTAATTTTAATTTCCTATTTTGTTTGAGTGTCTGCAATAAGCATTTTGTTCAAATCATTTTAAATTTTGTAATTGAAAATCTATTGTGAATTAATTGCTTTAATTAAGGAAAAGATCACATTTTGTTATATTGTTATAAATAGCAAAATGATACATTCGAGGTGACTCTATAAACTAAGACTTATCTCGAGGATATTCATAATTTTATTACAGGACAGCAGAGGTCGCCTTGAAGAAGCACTGAAAATAATTGGTTGGCCAGTGTTACAGGTGGCTATTTCTACTTTTGTGGCACTTTTGCCATTGTTGTTGAAGCAATCGTACTTGGCAATGGTATTCATGAAAACTGTCTTAATTACATCAGCGCTCGGTGTTTTCCACAGTCTCATCGTACTTCCAGCTTTACTTACTATTATTAACTCTTATGTGGAAGGTATAAATAAGCATGACAAGTATTATTAATTTCTACTCATAATTACAAATTAATGACGTCTCTTCCATAAAATGATCCTACTGCACGAAATAGTAAATTATGAATCTAAATTGGTACTCATTAATGGATTTAAATTGCTGCTCATTATTTTTAAATTTAAAAGCATTGGTTTTTTTTTTATAATCAGTACTCTTAGATTCTGAATTAGAAAATGTCTTTATTTCATATTATTTAAGGATCATCTGAAGAAAAAGAAAATTATAGACTGCGAAAAGCGATCAACAAAATTAAAAATGAGGTAGGCGATGGCATTATAGTTTCATGAAAATTATCTGCAAATTTGATTTTGAATAAAAAATGAGTAGGTGTAACTTCACATCTCTTATCAATTTCATTGATTGTGTTTCGGAAATCTGCAATAATTTTCATCGCTTTTTTTTCAGAATTTTATTACTGAAGAGAAAATATGTAATATATATAATACAAAATATAATAAGAGCTTTGAAAACTTATGATATCTTTGTAGTAAATTAATATAATTAATTTGTTCTAACTTTCAGCTCAAGAAAACACAATATAAGAACGGAGTAACACAAATAGGTGGCGATAAGAGGGAAACAAAAATAGCACCGATCTCAAAACTAGACATTATTAGTACCAAAGCTGAAGCATATGTTCATAAAATAGAACTTGGTAGAGTTTTATCATCTCCAATGTCAATCTGTGATAAAGAATGAATTTTGCACTTCTACAGTTCTAATGAAGTCACACTGTTGTCATCAAAATTTGATTCTTACTGAAGCTAAATCCCTTCAATGCATATATTTTCCCTCATTTACAGTGAATTTGGAAATGCTTTAAAAAGTGATTAACAAAAAAAAAAAAAATAAATAAATTATACACTTTCTTTATCTTTTCAAGTTTTAATTCTCTTATGAAATATGCAAGTATTCTTTAACAGAGCCAGTTATTTTTGAGATCTCTCTTTTATGTTGTGTTTGAAACAAAGCTTTTAAATTTATGAATGATAATTACTGTTGATAAAGATGTCAGTATTATAATTGGTGTTAAGAAGATTGGGAAAAATAATTAAATTGGTCTTCAAAATTTTGGAAATTATCGGAACGTTTTTGAAAATTGCTTTAAGTTTTATGCCTATTCAAATCTGAAGGAAAATCTGGAAGAAATTTTGATTCTTTTTTTTTTTAAAATAAGCGATTTGTAAATTTATAAGTTACAGTTGTTATTTGTGTATTCAGTTGTGCAGAAATTTTCTTTGGTATTTCCGTATGTTCGATTACTTAATGTGGTAAAACTTGAAAAACTTTTGAGTTTTTATTATTTATCAAGAAATCTTTTGGCGATTAATTTATTCTCTAAGATAAGCATTGATAAGTTTGCTTATCTTACTTGATATTAACGAATGAATACATAGCAAATAGCTGCACAAATTAATTGATAAGGAGAACTGTGCAGGTGCATAAGAAAGTGTCATGACCCTGATAACCTTTGCACTTTACCGCCTGAACTGAACTGCTTCAGCCATATGGGAAAATTTGTTGTGTTGTGAGAAAATGTAACAGATTGAAATGCTTATTTATGTTATATACTGGTCAATTTACCATTGTCTTTCAACTGCTTCACTTCATCAACCATTTGAACTGTTCTTTCTAGCTATAGCAGCAGCGATGGACATTTGCGCTAATCCCTGCTATAGTTAGAATAGTACGCATTTCAATTTTTCTATTTGCGCAAAATGAAAGATTACTGTTGATTTTAGCTGTTATGAATAAAATCTTTTTTCTCTTGTTTGACATGACATTCTTCTTTCATTTCTTTGTTTCCGTTTCCGGAATGTTCCTGAAATGAAATAACCAAAGTTTAATCCAGCAATAGGACAATTCAAGTATTTCACTGAAAATTTATAAAAAGGTTAGCAATTCTAAGGAACACTTCACCAATCCCATCCAACAGCTAATCCGTTATCTGTTAATCCGGAGAATACAATCTTTTCAGGATCCTTAGAATTTAATAATTTCATAGTGGCCCCGCCCATTTCGTTTGCTTCCCAATTCCGGTACTGGGTAAGGTGTCAGTGGATATGGGCAATATTGGTTAATTGGGTAGTTGTGATTCCCGTTGGGAAAGTCAAATGTGTGTGGTGGGTAATTTGGAGGAAAGATTAGCAAGAAAGAGAGGATTGTGTTTTTGTTGATGAATGTTGCGCTGAAAACAACATGCAGCTAAAATAGGTGAAAGTGAAGTTGGATTGGAGTTTGTTTAAGCTAAACTTGATTGATCTAAATTTGTTAGACATAAACTAAATTTATTTGCGATTATAATTTGCTATAAACATAATAAGAGTTGAATGATTGATAAAAAGAAAATTTGTAATTCGTTGATTTTTTTTTTTTTTTTTCAGTGATCGTAATTTGATACTGGAATGGAGGAATGCAATTGGAACTAATTAGATATGTTCTCTGAACTGATCATTTCTTCTACATTGTTATTAAACGCTTTCACTGTTATAAATTTCAAACTGTAAGAGTTTCTAACTGTATGAACAATATATGCATATGGGAGTAATGAATCGATTTATTTGCAGTGTTCAAATTTGTTAAGCAGTCTGTTGCTTCTTCTTCATTTTTCGAACTCTAAATAATTGTAACAATATAGATAGTTATTTACCTTTAGATTCCTAGTTCACTGTAATTTTCTCTTTTCTTTTTTTTTTTTTGTTGGTAATGGATGTTAATATTGCTATCCAAAACATTGCAGATCTAAAAATATCTCAAACATTATAGATCTAAAACAAATCATTTCGATTCCTTTGTAATTATCGAAGGTGAAAACCGATCAGTTGCGGATCGTATAAGAGATTTTCTTCTGTCGTTACGTAGTTTTCGAGTATTCATCGCTTTGTGGAATATTTTCGTAATTTCCCTGATGTTTGTGTAAGTATTGTACTCATATTTGAATATTTCATCAAAAATTTATGTTTATTTTTCAAATGTAATATATTACCCTTTAGAAAATGCTAAGTTTTTTCAAATGCGAACAAACCATTCTTATGAACTACGATGCTAAGTGGTTTCAATATTTGTTTAGATTTTTCTCACACTGAAAAGTTTGTCAAGCATGCAGTCAATGAATATCCACGATGCTGTTTCTGTGAATTCTACAGCTGGAGCATGCAACAAACCGAGAGAAATGAAAACATTTGGTGGTCAGTGTTTTGATTTTCAACTTCTATTCAGTGGGCTGATATTTCAGTTATTTGATGTCTTTTTAAAGTTGTTCGATTGAGAGTTTTGAAAAATATACATATCCAACAAAAATATTTAGGATTAATAATTCAGTGCTTATGGGAAATATCATGACAATAATGTAACATCGGCCTTGAATTACTGGTCCTTGATTTATATTTTAAAAGCGCAAAACATTGTTTTAGTGGACGTCCCGAACGGTTCATTGCGGTCAAAACCAAAACGGCCAGAAGATCTTCAGTTTGATTTCGATGTCACATTATCCACTTTGAGGTATGAATCATTCATTAGATTTTTTATTTTCTTTCCATTATGGTCTGAAGTTCTTTTGCACTTATTTTTTTTTTTTTCTACAGGGAACAAATGGCAGCAAAAGTAGAAGAAGAAGAAGCACTGATCAAAAGCTTAGATGAAATGCTGCGTAAGACTTCAGTTAGTGAAGGTACTGCTACTGATGATTTTTTTCTGTTGACATAAAAAAGCTTTCCAAATAATTTGATTTTTATTTCAGCAGAACATACGCCGAGCTCAGATATCTCTTTACCATTTAATTTGGCACTCACACGTCTCAAGAATCAAATGACTTTGGTTGAATCCGATACCAAACAACTCGCTACTAAACTGAAAATGATTTCTGGTTTAGCAGATAGTATTTCAAGCAAAGTAATTTAATCTTCTAATTTTTTAAATTTTAATTTTGATAAATTTTTATTTTTATTGGCTAGACATGATCTTTTGAATAGTATTATCCTCAACTTCAGGTTTTGGCACTGGATATAGCGAAAGGCCGAGTAGTTGAATGTTTACAGCGGGTCAGTGATTTAATGGATTTGCGTACTTGTGCGGACGGTGTACGTTCTGCCATAGAACAGGAGGATTATGAATTAGCTGCTAGACATATTCATAAATTTTTGACTTTGGATACAACAATTTTTCAAATGAGTGATCACGGAGAAGCGAAAGGTGAGCAATAAAAATAAGAAAAATTAATCCTTTTTTTTTCAGTTATTGTAATTAATTGCTTTTTGTGTAGATCAGTCAATGGGGAAAAGTTACGAGATTTTGCGAGAAGCAGCTAATGAAATGAAATCAATAATTGAAAAACGCTTCAACCAAGTAATTTTATCACAGTTCCCTTTGTTGCGTTTTAGCCCATGATCAGTTCTACTAATCAATTATTATTATAGCACTATTAACAAGATTGGATTTAAAATTGAGTTTAAAAATCATCTAACAAAAATAAAAAATTGTTTTATCGTGATAACTACCACTTATACATTACTTTTCTATGGTTTCTACCATATGGTTTCCAATGGTTTTTCTCGTTCTTATAATTTTCTCGTAGTTTTATTTTTTGTTTTCACTTTTCTGAGCTTTTTAGGCTGTTGAAGACAATGATGTTGCCTCAATTCAAAGATTTTTCAAGTTGTTTCCACTACTTAATGAACACATGAAAGGTATCGAACTGATTGGCAATTATCTTTGTAGTGAGATCCATCAATTTGCAGAGCGGAATTATAAAGTAAGCTCATAATTTTCAGTTTTTGTAAATGGAAGTTCCTCAATAGGTTTTGTTCTTATATCTCGTGTTAAGTAAATATTTAATGATACTGTGCTTAAAGTTTATTAGTGGTGTCTGCTATCACCGTTTAAGAAGAATAATTTTAATTTAGATGTTATTACTGATTTCGTATTTAAAATTTTATGCGAATTCAAAAAACAACAACATTTGGTTCATGCAATTGTAAATTTTTCTCACTTCCATCTTCTTTTTAATTTATATCGCCTTTTTTAAAGGTAATGCTAGCTGGTGGTATTGATGATACGAGAATAAGCGTGCTTTATGCAGATGCATTGACAATGCTTTTTGAAGGTAAATTCGAAGATTAATGTGTTCAAGTTATTCATGATAAAGCAGTTTGTAACGGTCAGTTGAATTTCAGGAATAGCTCGTGAAATACAAGTATATGAGCCATTGATTGGTTCCTCATACGGTCCGGATAAGTTGGTATCATTGATTGAAATACTGCAGGTGAATAATTACTTTCTGTTCTTTTTTTTCCTAATTTTATGGAGAAATTTAGAAGAACAAGGATAATATTTCGTTACATAGAGAATAATGAAGAACTTGATTTGGTTAAGTTAAAGATGTTATCCCTTTTCAGAAAGAATGCGATAAAGAAGCGGAACGGATCATTGATGCATTCATGAAGAACAGACAGTTTGATAGCAAAGCAAAAATGGTTGAAAAAATAACAAGAAACTCAGACAAATACCCACTAGGTTAATATATTATACGTGTCATTGTCAAGACCTTCAAACTTTCATTTTCGAGAATTTTAGTTACACTGAAAATAATAAAATCATGACTTAATCACTAATTTGTTTGATATAAATCATAAAAACAAAATATCGCAGTATTTATCAAAAGAACTATTTTCTATACTCATTGATTTCTTCTTTTTAGGGTTTCAATAATCGCTTTATTTTAGATAAAATCGACGTCTTAGAACTAGATGTATTGTTGTCCGAAGTAACACTTATGCACACTAGGACCCATCTTTATTGGCGGTATCTTAAGAGACGACTGAATATGGCAAATATGAAAACTGATGAGCAGGTGCGCTTATTATAAATTTAGATTAAAAACTTATTTTTTGTTATTTAAAAACATTTTCCTCAACAGGTGCGGTAAAGCTTTTTTATTCCTTGTCAAAGTAGTTTTAAAAAAAACAAGATTTATTCCAATGAAGATTTTTTTTTTTGAAGCACTTAATTTGAAAAATTTTTTTAGCCAAGAGAATTTGATGAGGATCAGATGAATGATGAAAATAAACGGCTTTCAGAAGAACTTAGAGCAAAACAGAAGCGTGAAAGAAATAACAAATTGGATGATTTGGTTCTGCGGTCGGTTCTTGGAACAAGAATGCAGGTATTTGTGAATGTATTTGATATGATCATATTTTTCCCATCTATTTGATCCGATAATTTTGTAAAATATTATAATAGTGAATTTCCCATAATAATTAAACAGTTTCAAAATCTTTCGAATTTTAGGAGCTATTGGGTCAATATGTGCTCATGGAACAATTTTATATGACGGAATCGGTCGCAAAGGCAATGACTATGGATTTAAAAGAAGTCGACAGTTTAACAAGGTGCTGAACTAATCGTTCATCATAATTTATATCAGTTTTCCTTTCAATGCTATGAAATCAATATGTTAATCAATGGCATGTCATTGCATTATATTTTACAATATTTGAACACAGCTTCACAATATACCTTCATTTTTCTCACTGTTTGTTAGTTATGCTATAGAGGAAGTCATATGAATAATCGTTTTCAGAAATTTTACTAACACATAGAATTAATTTTAAAAAATTTCTAGTAACGTAATAAAAATTTGATGAAAGATTTGGAACTTTAACTGGGAAATTTTTCAGCTCTATGCTTGATGATGTGTTTTTCATTATTCGCAAATGTGTAAGGCGTTCTCTCAGTTCGTCATCAGTGGATTGTACATGTGCTGTGTTAAATAATGGTGTAACTGCATTAGAAGCAGATTTTCTGAAATATATATTTCAGGGTATCAAGGCAAGTGTTCTTGAAAGTTTATAATTTTCTTCCTGTCATATTTCATCTCCGAACTTTTCTTGTAATTTTCAAAAAAAAAAAAAAAAAACTTTTAGTCAAATGTAAATGTTTAGAGTGGTTATCCGGGTGCAGGTTGGACTGCCGAAGCATATCAAACGGCGCAAACAGCATATAATGCTATACAACATGGAAAAATAGTCGCAGATTCTGGACTTGAGAAGCTGAAAGAAGTGAGCATTTACGGAGTTTTGGTGCAATGCCGAAATATTTTTAATAGTGCAATGTCTCTTGTAGATAAGATATATTCCTCAGAGACTATCCTACTTCCTTTTCGTATATTTAAATTATATTTAAAAATAGTTTTTATATTGCCCAAGGAATTGGTCGAATCTTAGCTGAGCTGGTGCTTTACTTTTGGATTTGATGTTTTTGGCACAAAGGTCTCTCTTGCACATAGAGTGATTTGAACTTGTGAAAGTAATTTAAGATCTAGGAAGTATAACTTCTCAATAAGTTTATTCTTCCAGATTTTCTTAACTGCTTTAAACAACGTTCGTGCGTCAGCTGAATGTACGAAAGCATTAAAAAAAGGGTTATTGGAAGATTTTGAAAAGCACCTGACTGAGGTATGACATTTCTATGTTTTTTAAAATATAGGCTTTTTCTTATTTTTTTGCGGAAGAAAAAGAAAGAAGAAGTAAAAGGATTTAAACTTTATAGGTATGTTAAAAGTTTCATGAAGGAACAGGTTGAGCAGTTTTAGAGAAATTTAAGCCGGAGTTTCGTTTGTTAGTTTTTTTTCTTAAAAATTTTTGTAGGTAAGTGAACTTGAAAAGGGCAAGCTGGAAAATGCTGTTAGTCAGCTGGACGATTTGGTACGAAAATTCGACAGTTCTGCAAATATTGGCGTTGATAAATTGTGCACAGCTGTATTTCGACCTAAACTGAAACCTGTGTACTGTTTTCTTCATTTTTTATTTTTTGCATCAGATAGATATTTTCCACTAAAGCAACTTATATTTTAATTTATTAAAAGTTGGAAGCGTTCGCAAAATTATTTGGAAAAATAAGTCAAAAACGATAAATTTGTTTAGCATGGACCTCTACTTAAATGTTACTCATACTCCTTCTGAGAGTGAATTCGCTGATTTTGAAGCAGAAGATCCGTTCATGGAAAATTTCATTGCAACACTTGATCGCCAGTTAGCAGCTTTTGAGCCGTTGCTTGTTCCTGTTAATTACCAGGTAATCTGATAATTATTACGCATATAACTTTCCTAAGGAGGGCTTCGAATTGCTGAAGTTGTTCTCCTGAAATTTTGTTAGCGAAAAAATGATTGAAGGAATTGCTAGTGGCAGTTTGTGCTGAAGTTTCTATGCAGTTCGAGCGTGTAATAATGAAAAATGTTTATAATCGACTTGGTGGTTTGCAACTTGACAAAGATTTCCGTTCTTTGAGCTCATATCTGACGAACATTGCTGGTTGGGTCGTACGTGAGAAATGTACGAGGTTATCTCAGGTATTTCACTTATCATTCTTAGCAGAATCACCACATTTTTTTTTGAATTCTTATTGATACTGCTGAATTTCTATGTCAGAATCGGACATTGAAATGTTACATTCCAGCAACAGCTTAGGTAAAAAAAATTTCGTAAAATCGTTCTGATTTATGGGATTTGTTAATGACTTTAAATTTTCGCTTAACAGATCATTGACTGTTCAACTATTCGTGCTTTTTAGATAGTATCTATAATAAATGTAGACAGCGTCGCAGAGGCAGAAGAGTGCTTCCATCAGTTACAGCATCATAATCTTACATTAACAAGCGATGAAGCGATGAAATTACTTACACTACGAATTGATTTGCCGTCCGATGCCATTAAAAATGCTTCGTTTTGATATTTTACCATCATTTAGTTGTTTCGGTTTCAGTTTCGGTATTTATGTTCAGCAATACATGTCTATATTTTGCAGGTTTTGGTTTTTTCCTCTTTTTTTTCTTTGATATCTTTTTTTTTTTTGGGTTGGGGGTAATGTGTGTGTGAAATAACTCAGTTATAAATGAAATAACCGAAATTTTTTCTTCGTTCATAGCAATAATACTTTCTGTTATTTCCTGTGTACATATCATTTGGTGCTGCAAACCCCAAATTCAATTCACCGACATTGTAGCTCTCATATGATCAAAACTTGATCTAAAATTAGTATGTGACAGTAAAATCCGACCATTTACAAAGTAATGCTTGCTTAAACTCCAGAACGAGTGCAGTTTTAGGAATGTCATTTCATGCACTAGAAATAAAAGGAATTAGGTAAAACTGTTAAACGATGGGGAATTTATGGAAAGTGGTAGGGATCTTGGTATCGGTAGAAAAAATTTTTTTTTGATGAGACGCACAAGTAAGTCTCCGAAATAATGAATAATATTAGCACTAGACAAATCTAATGATTTAGTAGGGACTATTTAATAACGACTCAAGCTCATGGATTTAATGGTGTAATGATAATGAATAAACAATAAAGATAGTTTGACCTCTACGATAATGCCTGGCTACAAGTACAAAGTAAGTGAGAAAAGCTGAACCAATTGTAAGTTAATATTATTCAGGTGTCTAGATTTTTGGAATACTGGATAGGAGTAATTAATAATTATTGTATTATAAGCTTAAAAAGAACCACAAAGTGGTCGGTGTTTAACAGTAGATGGGAATCGATCAGTGGTAATTTAATTGAGATGAATAGAATCCGGTAAGCGAGCTGTTTGTGATAGCGCAGGTAATTAGAATTGGCATTTAATTCGGTCCTGCTAATCAGATAATGTTTACTATTATATTTTTCAATCAAGTTCTCTCTCTTTTTAAAACATAGTCCAATAAATTTTGATAAGAAATGTTAGTATTACAAACAATTACAACAAATAACGAAATTGGGGAAGAATCATGCCTATATAAGTATAGTAGTGTTCCTGATACTCTTTGATATCTTCATCCTTCAGAAAAACTCATTTAAATTCAAATGATCAGCAATTGATATTATTTATGTCGTAAATAAAAATTTATAATGTTGAAAATGATAGCTGCAAGAAAGCTTAAATCATTAATTGCTAAGAACATTTAGGTTTGCAAGTAGTTTATGTTTTGATTTTTCCAAGTCGATCAGTGTTACTTCATTTACTCTTTAAAATTTTAATAAAACCTAAAGACTTACATTGTTGTAGTTTGAATGGCAGAATTACAAAAATAATTTCTTGCATATTTTCGGAATGATAAACAGAAATAATATAGGTAGTTGCAAAATTGTCTGATGAAAAAATTTTCGAAAACTAAAATTTCTCCTATTCTATGTAACTAATCTTTGCTTTGTATTACGAAAAATACAAATGAGAAGCTTAAATTGCATCCAATAACTTCAACTTTAGCTCTTATTTTAAATTGTAAATTTTGTATCTTTCAGATCTCAAAGTTTCACGTGAAGCTTTTTGAAATTTCCAAAATCTATAAATTTAAGCTTTTTTTTTTTTTTCAAATAAATGAAACGAAATAAGAAAGATTTGAAGGAATTTTCTCAAATATATAATTAATTATTTGATAAAGTTTAGATCAAGATAAATATTCTAATCTTTTTCATACAATTATGCACTTAATGACAATAGCAATAGTTAAGAATACAATGAATTATATTCTAGCATAACTTGCTACATCTTTTTATGATTAAAACGTACCACAAATAAAAGTATCACAAAAATAATTATAAACCAAATAGCATAAATATAAATGGCTTGTTGAAGTTGTTCAACAGATGATGTAAATGTAGCTAATGATAAGCCTGAGAAGTAAAGTGCTTGTGATCCATGAATTTTAGAGCAATGTGAAGCAGTGTAAATTGGCATCTGCAAAAATATTTGGCAAAAATTTTAATCTAACTGAATCAACGAAAGAAAAAAAAAAAATGATGAAAATCAATTATCAAAAAAGAAAAAAAAAAAAAAAAAGCTTTTAAATTTTATCAATAAAATTTGCTTGGATGATAAAAATTCTGAATGGATCAATAATAATGCTTAATTCTAATTGAATAAACATTTAAGTTTACATTATTAATTTTTTTTGCTAAAATTTGTTTCCTTTCGCAGCCAATTAACAATTCTGTGACATTACCGCTAGCAGTTGAATTATCAATTAGCATTTCAAAGAACTAAAATTCATCAATATTTTACTCTAACAGTTAATATTTAACTTTTAATTCATAATATACAATCATATTAAAATGGACATTTTTTATATGATAAAAAAACGATGAATTTTTTGTTTTTACAAAGTAATCTTAACAATTCATTAGAAATTTGAAAAATGTTATCAAAAATTATGAGTTAAAACTAGGTATGATATCTCTTATCATTATTATCATTAGTTATCATTATTATTATTATTAATAATAATTAATCAAACTTCTGAATTCATTAGTTCAACGAGGTCAAAAGTGTAACCCAATCGGTGAGTGCTGTTCGACGAAGAAATTCATTTTCAGCTAACAATGCACCAGCTAATTTTGTTGGATTATAATAATATAGCAATTTGATCAGTGCAGGAAAACTATTTGGATGAATCAGAAAACCGGAAAGCATCACTGAATTACTTAACAGAATTACTGAAAATGATAAAATGAATTTTTCACGCTATTTAGAAAGATGAAAAATTTGATTTTAAATTTCAAGCATTCCCATTTCTTTCTTTCTTTCTTTTTTTCTTTTTTAATACTTTAATTTCATTTAGTTATTTTATCATAGTTAATTTAAATATAAAATATATAAATAATTTATCTAAAAAATATAACCAATTGCAATGATTGCAGAAATCCGCGTGCAACAACTATACGCTATAATCCACGTGACGTATCGCCACAAAATTGCATGCACGTAAACAATCAACGTGAAAAGGAAGACAGATGGCCAATAGAAAGTACCATCGAGTGGAAGTCCACTTAGTATATAAGCAGGTAATGCATATAATATATTACAAATTATGCTTATTGGTAAGTCATATGTAATCTACAATTCATAATATTTATTTTTACAAATTTAAAAATTTTGCGCAAAAAGCATTAGAAAGTTTAGTAATATTATCAAGTGATAATAGCGCCTGATAATAGGTTTAAAAGTCTATAATTTTTTTTTTCCATAAAATGCAAAATTTCTAACTTAATAAAAAGCAATTGTATGATTTAAAAACAAAAATAAACAAATAAATAAATAAATAAATAAAAAATAAATAAATAATAATAATAATAATAATAATAATAATAATAATAATAATAATAATAATAATAATAATAATAATAATAATAATAATAATAATAATAAGATAACGTATGCAAAAGAAGAATACCTTAATCATAATATAAAAAGTTGGATCATACAGTTTATTTCGAACATCATCAAGTAAATATAAACGCTCATCAAATACTATAAATATTTTTTTTTCAATCTTCGCCGATAAGTAATTAAAATTTAATATTCAGTAATTATTGATTGATTGATTGATTGAAGAGAATCAAATGCATGAAAAGAATCGATTAATTAATATATGTCTAATCAAATATTGAATAATTAAATATTAATATTATAAATTTATTGAAAAAGGATTGTGTGATATTTGTTATGTTCAACAATTTAACTTCATTTTTAAATTTAAGCTAGTAACCTCTTTCGATATGAATGAAAAGATTTGGAAGTAAACAAATTGCAAGCATAGAAATGATAAAACCAAAACGAGCATTAATAGAAGCATAACGATCAGTTGGTATTTGGAAAAATATAAAACCAACAAAAAGCGAAATGAGAAATGCATAAATTGGTTCTTTAAAGTATATCCATGATCTATTCAGAAATATTTCGAAAAAACGTCTGAAATTATCAAAATTTTTTGAAAAGTTTTGAAAATTTGAATAATGATAAAATGAAACATTTAGTGATTTAATTTAATTTAATTTAATTCATTTAATTTCAAAGTAGAGAAGTATAACTAATCATATCATATTAATGTTTCATTAAAATTAATTTGATAAACTGTTACATTAAAATTCATTTACAATAATTCATTTGAAATAATTCTGTCGTTTGATTTGTTCAAAAAACTTCAAAAAATTATGATAATAGATAAATAGAAGAATGAGTGTAAAAATTTTACTTATCATTTACATTAGCGCCTATTTTGCACATTAGCGCCCATTTTCAAATGTTTACAAATAAAAATGAAAAACCTGTAAATGAGAAATGCCACACGATAACAGTTAACTCGATGAATCTTTGGTGATAATTGTTGATCAGTAGTTATCAGTTGTGCCTCACATTCATCAATTATTCTTTCCTTCCAAATCTCCGTCAATCGTTTGATCCGATTTATTGATTCCAACGATGACTCAGTGGTTAAGTAATCATGAGTTACTAAATCTACTGAAAAAAATTTACATTTCATTACTACAAATTTAATTTTAATTTAGTTTTGACTTTTTTAAATTTCAGTAGCAAAATTTTCTGATCACTCAAATTAGAGTTATTAAAATTCAATTATTATTGCTTAATAATAAACATTAGGATGATTTTAATTTAGCATTGTACAAAAAAAAAAAAAAAAAAAAAAGTTTAACCGTAATAGTCGCATGGATTTTTGAATGATGGACATGGAAAGCCAATTTGTTCAAAATAAGCCAACATCTGGCTTGATAATCCAAAATAGATAACTTTTCCAGATGCTATCAGTAGTACTAAAATATATTTTGTTATCAGTAGTACTAAAATATATTTTGTTATCAGTAGTACTAAAATATATTTTGTTATCAGTAGTACTAAAATATATTTTGTTATCAGTAGTACTAAAATATATTTTGTTATCAGTAGTACTAAAATATATTTTGTTATCAGTAGTACTAAAATATATTTTGTTACAATATTGAAATTATAATTATTTCAACTTTTTCAAAAACTTAATTTCAAACTTTCCTCTCTCTCTCTCTCTCCTCCTTACATTAGCTTAACTGTTATAAAAAGTTAAAACAGACCTTTGTGAAACATTGTTAAAATTTCAATTGTTGGTGGTTGCACAGCCATAATAACAATTCGATTCAATTTAATTGCCCAATCACGTAAATAGTCGATGAGAAATGCCATCTCATATAGATTTATATCTTTCATAATATTATCTGATAATAGTATATCTAAAAGTGTTATCACTATCACTTCTAATCAAATTACAATCCATTCAAAGTATATCTAAAAGTGTTATCACTATCACTTCTAATCAAATTACAATCCATTCAAAGTATATCTAAAAGTGTTATCACTATCACTTCTAATCAAATTACAATCCATTCAAAGTATATCTAAAAGTGTTATCACTATCACTTCTAATCAAATTACAATCCATTCAAAGTATATCTAAAAGTGTTATCACTATCACTTCTAATCAAATTACAATCCATTCAAAGTATATCTAAAAGTGTTATCACTATCACTTCTAATCAAATTACAATCCATTCAAAGTATATCTAAAAGTGTTATCACTATCACTTCTAATCAAATTACAATCCATTCAAAGTATATCTAAAAGTGTTATCACTATCACTTCTAATCAAATCACAATCCATTCAAAGTATATCTAAAAGTGTTATCACTATCACTTTTAATCAAATTACAATCCATTCAAAATCAAATTATTTAAAAGTTCTAAATAAATTCCTGAAAAAATGGTAATTAATCGATAAATGTGATTTTTTTTTCTTTTTTTGTTAAATAGAATAGCTATTACACATAAATTGCTGCTACTTTTTAAATTATTTTCGACTTTTTCTTCTTTAGAAATGATTAATGTAGTAGATAAAAAATTAAATTGATAATTTGAGAATTGAATGTGATGAATTAATTAAATTTTACTTAAATTTTATCATTTTACAATGGTAACTTTACCAGCAGCTTTCAAAATTTGTTAAATTAGTAGGCAAAGAATTAAATGAATAATTTAAGAATTGAATATGATAAATTAATTAAATTTTACTTAAATTTTATCATCTTACAGGAATAACTTTACCAGCATCTTTTAAAATTTGCAGTGCAATTTTCAAACGTTGTCGTTCGGCGATTGTTAATTCATTGCAAAGAAAATTACGAATTGATGAAAGTGCTAATGTTTGAATTAGTTGCTCCATCTAAAATATTTCAAAAAAGAAAATTTCTCCAATTTAAACAATTTAAAATCAATTTTTATTTGAACAATTCAAATATTAATGAATGAAAGAGAATAAAGGAAAAATATTATCATTACCATATTAACATTATTAAAAGTATTCCTATCAGAGGTGACAAATAAACTTTGTAAATATAAAGTTTGTGCTACTGTAAGCCAAGGATAAACATTTTGTGCGTTGACATATGCGACACGGTCACCAAATTCATTTATATTCATTTTATGTCCATTATTTTCAATTATTCCATTAATTAAATATTCCTTTGATATATTATTTGACATTATTTCCAACAGAATACGCATTTCTGATTCTAAATGTTAACTTTTTTTTTTTAATTTTAATATTTTATTAAATTTACTTTTATCTATCAAAGAAATTGCTAATTTTCAAATAGTTGCAAAAATTCAAAATAATTCAAACTATTTAGCACAAACATTTTTATTTTGTTTCAAATTAATGAAATCATTTTTTTTTTTTTTTTTTTAAATAAAATTTACCTTTTGCATACAAAATTGCAAGTGTGTCACCACCCTTTAGAGTAAATGAAATATCTTGTAAATGATGTGACATGCTGGTTGTCCAAGATAAACAATTTTTAACAAATGTTCCATTATCTGATGTGACACATAAATTTTTAACGCTTATCTTCGGTGTACTGTAATAGAATGATAAAAGTGATAAAGCTAAGATAAATAATCACCCTATCACTAAAATAAGATACGAGATTTACTGATTAGAATTATCAAATCAATCTACAAACAATCATTAAATTGAAAAAAAAAAACAAACAAACAAATAAACAAACAAACAAACTTTCTTTCGTTTTTTCGTAATTCATTTGCTTTTGCATATCGCAAATAATTGAAACTGTGCGGCGCATTTGGCAACATATTTAGATTAGACGAATAGCGCTCATAATATCGCTTACATTGTGTAAAACTATTTCTGAAAAATGAATTGAAAAAATTTTTTGAGAAAAAAGAAAAAAAAAATGCAAAAAAAAATTTTTTTTCACTCTTTAAAAAAAAAAAAGCGGAAATGTTTCAACAGAAGTGAAATTACAAAGTGCGCTCGGCGCATAATTCATTATTATTTGATATAACTTCGGAGGAAGCATAGTGAATTTGTGACAGACTATTTGTAGCATTCGAAATAAATTTTAAATCTGTTGCATTATCATTTTTAACTTCTTTATCCAATTCTTCTTGATTACTTTTCATCCTGAAATACTTCATTTAACCTTAGAATTTTTTTTTTAATTTTTTAAAATTTTAATTGCAACTTTATAAAGTAATCATTAAGTTGCTTAATATGTACAGAAAATCAAAAATATAATAAAAAAATTAGTTAAAAACTCACTGCTAATGATAATAATTTCAATGCTATGCAATAAATTTATTAAAATATTTACTTCATTTTAATTCATTTTAATTCAATTCCTTTTCAAATAAAAAAGAGAGCAAATATTGGTTGAAATAGTAAAAAGAATTCTTTTTTTTTTTTAAATTTTATCATTTAATTTTTTACCAAAAAGTATGCCTACCGTAACTTGAAATTTGACCTTATTTTTGCAGAATATTTCAATTTTTTTGAATTATTAAAAAAAATTGAAATTTTTTGAATTATTAATGATGCATTCGTGTCATTTGCATGGCCTTAAAATTTTACCATTTGAATGAAATATTCTTTTTGCATTGTTGCCACTCTAGAAAATAATAAATTGACCAAAAAAGTTTGGGAAGGTCAACACAATAATAATAATAATAATAATAATAAAATAATAATCAATAATCATAATAATAATAATGGCAATAATAGTAATAATAATAATATTAATAATAATAATGTTGTTAATAATAATAACATTAGCAATAATAATAATAATAATAATAATAACAATATTAACGACAATAATAATAATAATAATAATAATGACAATACTACTAATAATAATGACGGGAATAATAGTAATAATAATAATGCGAATAATAATAATAACAATAATAATAATAGTAATGACAGTAATAATAATAAATAATGAGAATAATAGTAATAATAACAATAATATTGTTAATAATAATAACCATAACGTGAATAATAATGATAAAATGAGACAAATATTTTTAACCTTTTAAAAGTTAGGTAATTAGCGCTTCGAAAGGAACAAACAAAAATATATTTCAAATGAAAATTTATTTCAAAAAATAATGCAACGATTTCTGTTACTTTTAATTAAAGAGTAATTAACAGAAGTATGAAGTTGTTAATCTCAATAATCTTTGATATAATTAATAATAATATGAATTTAATTTTTCGAAGATTTGTGCATGAAATTTTGATAATTTATTAAGATTTGAAATTAAATTGTTTATCTACAAAAAGTATTTTTTCATTGAAATGTATTAAGATTTTCAAAATTTGCAAACAAAAAATTACAAAAATCCTTGTAAAATTTACAAATTTACAAAAATAAAATTTTTTAATAAATTTCACTTTTTTTTAATCTAATTATTGTACTTTTTGTTTTTGTTGTTTGTAAATGTTATCTTTTCATCCTGAAAGGTAATATAATAAATCAATCTAACAGTGAGGAAGGCGAGTGATGATAAAATACTAAAGAAATAAATTAAAATTAGATTCTTCCTGAAAATTAATGAATAAATTTAAATTTTGCTAAGATTTGTGTAAATTAAATTTGAAATCTTTTCATTTCATATTTACTTTACTTACTTTCAAAATATTATTTTTCTAATCAAATTAGTATTCAAATCATTCAATTAGTAAACAATTTACTTCTTCACAGCTAAGCAGTAATCATTTATAATTAATTAAACTTAGTGTCAACAAATTATGTAGAAAAGAAAACACGAAGGTAATTTGATTAGTTTATAAGTAAGTAAAAGTATTCTTACCTAAAAATTAACAGGTATTTTTTGGTGATTAAACTGACAAAGTAAACAAAATTTGAAATTGAGAAAGAATAATGATTAATTTGTGTGTGATAAAAATGAATAAATAATACCAACAATTCTCTTTCAAATATATTTGATAGAATAGAAAATGCATTTTTCAATTGGTAATTTTAAGTGTCGCATTGAAATATTTTAGTGCAAAGTGCTCATTTCAAAATGAATCTGTGACAGACTAATTATTATTTTTGATGAAAAGAGTGCTACCAAATAATATTCACATTTAAAAGTAAACAATTCTTATGGTTCAATATCTACGTATACAAATAAGAAGGATGGATTAATTTTTAAAGAAAAAAACTGAAAAGAATAAAAAATTCAAATTTATTTAAATTTAAAAAATTAATTTAGACAAATATAAGTTTAGATAAAGTTCAAATTTTGATGATATTTATTTAAATTAAAAAATTAATTTAGACAGGTATGAGTTTAGATAAAAGTTAAATTTTGATGATATTTATTTAAATTAAAAAATAATTTAGACAAATATGAGTTTAGATAAAATTTAATTAAATTTTGATGATATTTACTTAAATTAAAAAATTAATTTAGACAGGTATGAGTTTAGATAAAAATGAATTGATCAGTTTTTTTTTTTTTTTTGAATGATTGAAAAGTTATTTATTTGTAGCATTTGATCATCATCTTTTTCATCCTTCAAATCATTTCTTAAATTATCGAAACACAGTTCCTTCCTTACCTGAACTTTGTTTATTTTAACCATTCTGCAGATAGAAATAACTAAGAATAGAACTAAACATAGAGACACAGATAAGTAAATTTGAAATTTCAAATTAAGCAGTTTAAAAAAAAAAGCAAAATTAAAATACCAAAAGTTAACACCTGTACTGGTAATTTTTTTTTTTTTTTTTGAAGAAACCGAAAAGTATATAAATTAAAACAAATTTTTAAATTCAAATAGCCATGTCATTTTTTTTTTTTTTTTTTTAGTTTTAGTGAGTTTTAAATTAAAATTCGTTATTTTAAATGTTCACTGATCTATTGTTTATTGATAAGGTAAAAAATGATTGGTCATTTTATCACGAAAGAAATTTGTTTTAAATTAAAATTAATTCCCGTTTTAACTATTTCTGTGTTTCCAGCTTCTTCATTTCATCAGTTTCATTTTTTATTTCACAAATGTTTTTTTTTTTTTTTCTTTTCCTTTCTTTTTGTTGACATCACATTGACAGATTTTCTTCTTTCAAAATAATTTACACTGCTTTTGAAATATTTGAAAAATTTTCAATAATTTAATTGCTGTAAGAAATATTTTAACAAATATTTCAATTTAAATGTAAATAATATATTTTTTTTTTCTTAATATCGAATAAAATTTGCTTCAGTTGTTGGGATTTGAGATTTGTTTGAAATAGAAAAATTCTATTGGAAAAAATTGAAAAAAAAATAGGGTCAATCAAAAGAAAAAAAAAACAAATTTATAATTTTATTTGGAATAGGAACAATAAAGTAATAATAATAATGGTAATAATAATAATAATAATAATAATAATAATAATAATAATAATAATAATAATAATAATAATAATAATAATAATAATAATAATAGTAATAATAATAATTATCGATGCAAAAATGATTTATGTAAAAATTAGAAAAGAAAGTGCTTTTTCAAGAAAGTATTGCTTTCGAATATTAATAACCTATCCTACCTACCTACCTACCTACCTACCTGTACACAATTGCCTTACAATTAGAGGTCATCCACCTTTTCCAATTTCTCTTTTCATCTCGTAGAAATTTCTTCTTTCCCCTTAAGATATAACAATCTTTAAATTTAATTTTATTAATTTCAAATATAAACTTTATTTAATCATTATTACAATTATTGTCCATTAACGCTTGTAATTTAGGACATTAAACTTGCTTTCCCGTTGTCGCATACATTCTTCTATTCATCAACCCGAAAGCAGTTGAATTATAATTCAGAATTCAAAAATTTCTTTATCAATTCTGAATTGCTATCAGAAAACTGAAAAATTGTAAAATTGAAAATTTGAAAAATTAAAATACAACAGAAAACTATTTAAAAATATATACACATATAATGAAATTGAATTATTTTGAATAAATAAATACATTTAAAAAACATTTTACACTTTTTATGATTTATATATTTTTAACTTTTCTATTTGAACTTAAATATTTAAATTCATTCTTTAGTAATAAGTAAATTGAAGGAAGACATTAACAGATAGAATAAGTTATTGTTTCTATTTTTTTTATTAATTCAGTTTTTTTTTTTTTTGCCTTTTTAATGTTTCCTCTTTTTTTATTCATTTTATTTGATCTTTGCTCTCAATTTGTGAGATATTTCATCTATTTCAAAAATTCATTCGAACACGTCAAATGATACGAAAATTACGTGTAAGAAACGTCAAATGATACGAAAATGACGTGTAAGAAGCGTCAAATAATACGAAAATGACGTGTAAGAAGCGTCAAATGATACGAAAATGACGTGTAAGAAGCGTCAAATGATACGAAAATGACGTGTAAGAAGCGTTAAATGATACGAAAATGACGTGTAAGAAGCGTCAAATGATACGAAAATGACGTGTAAGAAGCGTTAAAATATAATTATTTAGAAAATGAATTTTGTTTACGGTAAAATCGTTGGTGCATTTTTAATCATCGTTCAATGTGAGCAAAAGATGGTTTAACTTTACTTTTAAAATTAAAATTTACTTTTAATACGTGTACTTTTCTCTTTTTTTTCACTCTAATTTTTTTTGTTTCATTTTTCAAATTGTAAAATTGGAAAAGTCATTAATCATTTAATTATTAAAAGCATTAAATTTATAGTAAGAAAAAAGTTTTTTAATTAAATTAAATTTTTTAATTTAATTTTATAATTAAATGCTTTTTTTTTTTTTCTCATAATTTTTGTTTTCTTCCAGTACACAAATTCATTTATTTTATTATTTTATTTAGCATTTCTTTCTTTTTTGCTTAACAATTAGGCAGTATTAAAATTTTAATTTTGAACAAACTTTAAATAAAGTAAATTTGTTTGAGCAGAATAACACTGATAATTTTCAATTTCTAATCACATAAAAATATCTCTACAACATTTGATAATATGTTAATATATTCTCTAATTTAATAGACAATATTGAACGGAAAGAAAATTTCGAACTTCAAATTCACGTTTCTACGTACGTACGTAACACTTATTAGCATAGTTTTAGAATGGTTTTTTTTTTTTCTTTTTTACTATCTTCGTAAATTCAGAGTTTTGCAAATAAATTCCATTTTTAAATTGATTGTCTTTTTTCCTGATCAAAGCACAAATTTTAATTCCGTCAATTTATTTCCAGTAATTAAGTATTATTTTATGAATGATAATTGTTTCGTTTAACGTTTGTCTGCCTTGAAAAAACGACGCATTTTGACAAAATTCTGCAAATAAAAAAAAAAAAAAAAATCAAATTAAATTAAAAAAATAAAAATGAAAAGATTAATAGAAGAATAGTAATTTCACTTTATTAAATTCATTTAAATTTCACTTTACTAAATTCATTTATTCCTATTTCGGCTCTTTTCTACAATTATTTGTTGCATTTAAATGCGTTTATTTCAAATTTAAATTAAAGAAAAAAAATCTAAGAGTAAAATTTTTTCAACAATTAATTAATGTCCATTTCAATTTTCTACCTTTCAAACTTTTCAAAATTTTTAGAAGAGTAAATTATTAATGATAATAGATAATAAGATAACAATTAATTAACGTCCATTTCAATTTCAATTTTTCGTCAGCACTTACTAAAAAAAAAAAAAAAAAAACCTCAAACTTTTCAAAATTTTTAGAAGAGTAAATTATTAATGATAATATTAAATTAAAAATTATATAAATTAAATGTTATACCTCAGTTGTTGTCGTAAACCTATGAAGTTTACCAGCCGGAATTATCAGTAAATCACCGTATTCACATAAAATCCTCAACCAATTGTCACATTCATCTTCCACATCGTAGTAAGCAGAACCTTCGATGACAAACACAGCCATTTCATTGTTTAATTGAGTTTCTTCATATAACTCTTCAATCTGTATATGTAAATTTGAATTTAATAACTCATATCATACTGGTAATTAAATTTTTTAATTAATTACACATATACTTAATTAATTCATTTAACTAATAATTTATGAAAAAAAAAAGAATTTATTAATCAAAAAAAGAAATTGAAAAATTTATGTTTAAAACAATTTTTTATTAAAATTTAAATTTGTACAGCAAAAAAAAAAAAAAAAAAAAAAAAACAACAAATTATTTGATTAGGAATAAATTAAAAAATTTTTTTCTACAAATTTTTCATTTTATCAAAAAAAAAATGATTTGTACCTTATCATCAAAATCTGTAATACTTCTAGCATTCAATGTATATACATCCTCTTTTGTTAATTTTCGTCCTTTTTTAAGTAAAGCAATTCGTTTTGACATTGATACTTGATCTTCTGTGTCAACGTTCAAAAACAAAAAAATGCCATTAATAATAATAAATAATTATTTCAAGAAATTTCATGATAAATCATTGATACATTGGAAATATTAAATTAAACTTAAATTAATTAACAATTTATAGTTTAAATAATAGAAAGAAAATTTTAATTATAATTACTTTTAGCTAAAAATACTTCACTCATTGATTAATAATACCTTTTCAATATTATTTTATAAAAAAATTTATAAATTAAAAAAAAAAAAAAAAAAAAAAAAGTGAAAACAAATTGAATTCAAAAAATTATCTTAAAATAAAGTACACCAGTTCGTTTTGTTAATTCATCAGGTGTGATTTTTTTTGGTGGAAATAAATGATGTGGTAACCGAGGATCACCGCATGGATATGGTTCCATATACCAAATTTGCACCATTTTTACGTACGTAATAGAAGTATACTTGTCACGTACGACTGATTAAATACTAAAATATCTAAAAGTAAAAAAAAAAAAAAAGAGAAAAAAGAGAAAAAATACGAAATAGCAATTTGAATTGAAAAACAAAAATTTCTATTTGTTAACAAAAATATAAATTATAAAAGTTTTTTGATAAGGTAACTTCCATTTCTATTTTAATTATTTGTAAAATTTAAATAGCTACTAGCAAATTTCCTACACTCATTTTCTATGACTGATTTATTGCGCCTAATACTGTCACATATGCGCATTTAATAAACTTTGAGTGCTTTTACTAGTATTTATTGAAATTTAACAATTCATCTCTTACTCAACTATACCTTACTCTTTAGAATAGTCTATTTTATTGTTGTTGCATGATTTTCAATTTTGTTAAAATAATTCTAAATTGTCAATAATAACATTTATGGAGCACAGCAGTTTAATGCTACGAAAAAGTAAACAAACAAAATTATGTCAATAAATTGTAAACAATTTACAATTGACAAATAGTCAATGAACAATCAATGAATAGCAATTTGCATAAAGTAATTTACTATTTTGATATTTCTACTAATAAAAGTGATAAATTCAAAACATTGTTTATTACTTTAAATATTATTTAGAAAGATGGTCGATTATTTAAGTCTTAATAAAAGAAATTAATAAAAGAAAAATTAATAAAAAAAGTTAAATTAATAAAATAGATTTAAGAAATGAAAATAAATAAATAAATAAATAAATAAATTGGCATTTTAATCATTTTTTAAATTATGAAACATCAATGACATCACATTTGTGATTACTTTATTTGAATTTAAATTCATCATTAATTTGCAATAGTGAATGAGTAACAATTTGAATTTAATTTTAGCTCATCAAATTTTTCAACAATTTTTTACTTTTTTAAAATAATTTAGACAAAAAAAAAAAACTTTTCCATTTGTTATTCATTTATTAATTTATAAATTTATAATTTACAAATAATCAAAAATTTCTTTCTATGGGACAAATAAGTAAGGTAAATTGTCACATTTATTCTGCAAATTTGTATATTTGGCGCAATTAGATCAGTACTTTTGAGCGAATTATTGTATTAGCTAATTATTATTCATACAATAACGCTTATCTTAATGAAAAAAAAAAAAAAAAATTAAAATAAAAATGAAATTTGAAATGAAAAATAGAAAAACGAATAATATTTAACTGATAAACCTTAACAAATTGTTGATAATTTGTTAAAACGCTTCTGATTAAAACTTATCAGTAAAGGAACTAATTTAACGGAACAACAAACAACAAACAATAAACAACAACAATAATAGCCATAAAAAAGACTATCATTGTATATATAATCAAAGAAGCAATGAACAAATCAGGTTTGTTAAAGATAAGCAAATAATTCTTACTGAGGTATTTGAAGCAATATTTTGAAGAAAGAGAGAGAGAGAGAGGGAGAGAGAGGGAGAGGGAGAGAAAAAGAAGGAAGAGGATATTTTAGAAACAATAACTGAGTAATTCATTTTATGAAATTACCGATACCGTTCGTCTATTTAAACGAGTTTACTTTCAACTGGAAATTTTTATATTTTAGTGCTTTAATTAGCTGTTTGCAAGTAAATGAAAGAGAGAGAGAGAGGAAGAGAGAGAGGGAGAGAGAGAATTTCTTCTTATGTACGGAAAGAAAGAATATAAGAAACCGGTTCAATGGGCAATAATTGAATGAATGATAAATAAATTTACTAATTCCTTCTACGTTCTGCACTTATATTTCTCTATTACCACAATTTGGAAATTGTAAGTTTCTATTTTTCAAAATATATTGTGATATTAACAAAATTTCTTATCGCTATTATTGTATGTACAAAACAAACCAAAAAAAATATTAAAATAATTTTAGCAATTATTAAATTTACACAAATTTATCAAAATTTAATTAAAATTAAAGTAATTCTGTTTTTTTTTTTCATGCCCAAAAAAAAAAAAACAGTCAGAAAAAAAAATGTAATTAAAATTAATTTAATTATAAATTAATTTAGTGTAAAAACTGGATATGTAAGTAAGACTAAAGAAAGGAAAGCAAAGTTGGAAGTGTATCTTTTATGATTTTATGGGTAATTTATTATTAGCTAAAGTTTAAATTGAACTTTAAATTAGATTAACATTCGATGCTTTGTCATCTAAATTCAAAATGAATTTTAATCACATGCATACCAGCTGTATTGCAATAAGTCTGTCTAACAAAATTATAGTTTTGTAAAATAAATAAATCACATTTGTGCTCCTAGAAAAAAAAAAAAAAAACTGAAATGTTTTTTTTTTCCTTTTTTTTTTCATAATTTCATCAGTTAATCTTTCACTTTCATTTCATTCATTTTGTGACGAAAAAATTTCTGTAAAGTGAAATTAATGCAATAAAACAGAAATAACTGTACACTTTGTTATGAGATAATGATAAATAATTAAATTGATATGAAATAATGATAAATAATTAAATTGATATGAAATAATGATAAATAATTAAATTGATATGAAATAATGATAAATAATTAAATTGATATGAAATAATGATAAATAATTAAATTGATATGAAATAATGATAAATAATTAAATTGATATGAAATAATGATAAGAAATAAATTGATATGAAATAATGATAAATAATTAAATTGATATGAAATAATGATTAAGAAATAAATTGATATGAAATAATGATAAATAATTAAATTGATATGAAATAATGATAAATAATTAAATTGATATGAAATAATGATAAATAATAAATTGATATGAAATAATGATAAATAATTAAATTGATATGAAATAATGATAAATAATTAAATTGATATGAAATAATGATAAATAATTAAATTGATATGAAATAATGATTAAGAAATAAATTGATATGAAATAATGATAAAGAAATAAATTGATATGAAATAATGATAAAGAAATAAATTGATATGAAATAATGATAAAGAAATAAATTGATATGAAATAATGATAAAGAAATAAATTGATATGAAATAATGATAAAGAAATAAATTGATATGAAATAATGATAAGGAAATAAATTGATATCAGAAGTGATTAAGACAGTGCTATAAAATTAGTCCATCAATAAATTTAACAATCATATCATATCTAATCAATTCTATGCATTTTTATTCAAAAAAAAAATCCATCATAATTTTATTATTACTAATTAATCTTTCACAAATTATATTTCATTCAACTTTTTTTTTTTTTTTTTTGATTATTTTTTGAACATTCTTTTTACAAAACATATAAAGTATTGATTTCTTTTGAAAAAAAAAAAAAAAAAAAAACCTCTCCAAAAAGCCGCAAAAATTTTCTCTCTTCATGGTTAAGTATTAAATATAAAGTATTAAATATAAATTTATTTAGATTAAAATTAAAAGTATTAAATATAAATTTATTTAGATTAAAATTAAAAGTATTAAATATAAATTTATTTAGATTAAAATTAAAAGTATTAAATATAAATTTATTTAGATTAAAATTAAAAGCATAAATTTGTTTAGATCAATGAGGAAATTTTAAATCTAAATCAATACCATTATTCATTTTTACATTCTCAAATATTATCCTCCGCTGTGATTTAAATAGATTAAATTCAAAAATGATAAAAGTTATATGATAAAAATTAGAGTGATAAAATAATGGAAAGAAAAGATAAACAAAATAATCAGCTAATCAAATTATTAAATCACAAATTAACTAATCATTTATTAAATTTAAAACACAATAAGCTAACAATTGCAATAATAATGACAAAAAAAATGATAAAATAATAATTAAAAGTTTCCATAGAATAATTCCAACTTTCTGGATAATATTCATTCAAAAACATTGTACCATTAGTCCATCTAAAATATAAAAATTAAATAAATTAAAAAACAAAAACAAAAACAAAAACAAAAACAAATATAAAAATAATATCAAAATTATGAAAATATACAAACAAAAAAAAGTTAATTTCTTACCTACAAAATTGTTCCAATGGCTTATTGCTATCAAAAATACAATTTCCTGCTTTAGTACCATCAATAAATTTGAAATTTATAAATGAAAATAAATAGCGATAAAAATTAATATACATTAATATATGACGTAAATCATTTGTTGATACAAACGTACGTGGTGCACTGCAAAAGAAAAAAAAAAAAAGTAAAATGAAAGAATAATAACTTAAAATACTTTGATATTTTCAATATATCTTATCATCACTATTACTCTAATTTCTTAGAAAAAGAAATCAGTTTTTTTTTTTTTCTAAAATTTTAATAAATTTAAAAAAAAAACGAACATAAAAAATGATCCGGCACAAATAACGGATCCAAAACAGAATTCAATTAAAAATTTAGCAGTAAATTCAGCCTTTTTTGTATAAAATATTACAATCAGTACTAAAATTTGAAAGTACTGATAACAGCACCATAATGGTAGTGCTAAATTCCAAATATAATTCCAATTCTCAGAAAATTGCGAATAAAAATGCCTGAAATTAAAGTAGAGAGAGAGGGAGAGAGAGAGTTCAATGTTACAGGTGTAACAGGTTTTCCTGATTTAGGATAATATCAGGTTGATCTGAATAAGAATATCTGAAATCTATCAAATTAACTTTTCACTATCATCGTTAAATTTTTTATCTTTTTAGATATATCATCTTTTTTATTGTTTTTAAAATGAATTATTTTAAACTAATATCCATTGAAAATTTAAATTTAAATGAAAATTTAAATTTGTAAATTAATTTCAAAAGATAGTGAAAAAAAATGGAAAACAATATTTCTCGAAATTTGTTCTCGAAATTAGAATTAAATTTCTCCTCAATTATTCACTAACCAAAAAGTAATAATGAAAATTGAAGAAGTAAAAGCTAAGAGATCATTTAGCATTGAAGCTAATGAAAATGAAAGAATGCTTAAAATTTCCGAATATACACCATCTGTTACATCTTGTTCACATTGACCATGAACTATTGATTCTAAAATAAATTTAATACAACAAAAAAAATTTAATCTCAAAATTTTGAGAGAAAAATTTTAGAATTTTTAAATTAAAAATTAGTAGGGTTAGTATTTGAAAAAGAGAAAAAAAAAATTGAGTAAAAACTCAAATTTCCTTAAAATTCTACTCTATTTTAATCAAATTTCATTTAAAAAAAAGTACTATCATGAAAATTTCAATTTATTGTTTTGAACTGATAACTATCTGATTATCACTAAAACAATATCAGTGATTAATTAGAAAAAAAAAATTAAAAATTTGTACCTAGTTATTGTATTCTTACTTACCATTAAATATAGTGAGAAAAATGGAAACAATTGAAAATAAAGTCGAATAGATAATCAGTAAGGCGGCTTTGTCCTGTGGTGACCACCATTCATCTGAGGTTGAAAATGGAGTAGAACAGAAGCATATCAGTAGTGTAAGTAACGGTAATAGCAGTAGTCGTAGGAGGACAATATGCGCTGATGAATTAAGTGCGCAAAATGATCGTCTACAATAAAAGTGATAAACATTTCAATCTTCTTGATATGATATGATATAGTGATAAAATGAATGAAATTTCTTGTACTTGTGCTTAACATTTTATCAGAAGTATTAAATGAATGATTCAGATTCTAACAAGTGATAACAATAATGATTTCAAATGATAATTATTTATCACTGATTAAATTTAGAAAGAGGAACTGAAGTAAAATGAAGAACTGATAAGAACTGGATGGTCTGCCATGAAAAAGTAAACGTTTCGTTAATTGGATAGAATGAAGTACTTCTGATTGCAAATCGATGTTATTCTGTAAAAGAATTCTCATCAATTAATTGACTGATTAATTTATTGATTGATTAATTGATCGATCGATCGATTGATCAATCGATTCAGCTAAGTTTAACTCTAATGCAATTGAAAAGAAACAATTAAACTTAAACATTTGATATAACAGTTTATAATTTGAAAATGGAATAATAAATTATGGATACTTTGAAAAGATCAATCAATTTTAAAGCTTGTTCTTGTGTTTCTCGATATCTTTCTGTCGTTTCACGATCAATCATTACAAGAGATACTGCAAAATTTTGAATGCTTGAAGATATTATTAAATTAGTATACAAAGTTATAAGGAAGGAAAAAGATTAATTAATTAATTAATTAATTAATTGCATAAAGTAATCATACAGTAGTAAGTAGCAGGATTTTCATTTATTGGACATGGAAAACCGATGTGATTGAAATACAGTGGTAATTGTTGAGTTGCACCTGAAATATAATTATTTTTTTAGAAAAAAAAGAAAAAAAAAACTGAATTCAAATTGATATTAAAAGATCAGAAGATTAGATTGATAATTTTAAAAGTTTAATTATCATATCTACCTTTTCATTTTATATATTTGTATTACTAATTATCATTTCTCTCTAATAGAAGAATTAGTATTGATAATTTTAAAATTTAATTATCATTTTATCATTCATTTTTTAATTATTATTTTATATCTACCTCTTCATTTTATAGCATTCATATTACTAATTCATCATTTCTGTCTGGTAAAGAATTAGTATTGATAATTTTAAAGGTTTAATTATCATATCTACCCTTTCATTTTATTAGTATTAATATCAAATTATCATTTCTCTCTAATAGAAGATTTAGTATTGATAATTTTAAAGGTTTAATTATCATATCTACCTTTCATTTTATTAGTATTAATATCAAATTATCATTTCTCTCTAATAGAAGATTTAGTATTGATAATTTTAAGGTTTAATTATCATATCTACCTTTCATTTTATTAGTATTAATATCAAATTATCATTTCTCTCTAATAGAAGATTTAGTATTGATAATTTTAAAGGTTTAATTATCATATCTACCCTTTCATTTTATTAGTATTAATATCAAATTATCATTTCTCTCTAATAGAAGATTTAGTATTGATAATTTTAAAGGTTTAATTATCATATCCACCCTTTCATTTTATCAGTATTCATATTACTAATTTATCATTTCTCTTCAAAACTATCCTTCAGTTCTATTAAAAATACTTCATTCTAAACTGTCTACTATCAGTTGACATTTGTCATTGTCCTTTATTAGTTTCATTCTCTACACTTTAACACTTACCGGAATAGATTGTTTCACCATAAAATAAAATCGTAACACGGCTCAACAACTGATATAAGTCAGATCGTAACGTACGTGTAGCTATTATAGCCATCGTTCCAGTTCTTTTGACGTATGTGCTTAATGCATACATCAATTGATAGTTACTTAATGCATCTATGCAAGTTGTTGGTTCATCCAGAATGATTAAAACTAAATTTCAGATTTTAATTAAAATCAAAAAAAGATTGAATTGGTTAAATAGATTCATTCTATGCTTCATCTTGAGCTAATGAAGTGATTCATGATTTGCTTACAAATTTGGATGAGCTAAATGAATAAATTAAGTAGTAAACATAAATAATTATGCAACGATAAGATTGATAATAACTTTTAAAGTTTAAAAATTCTATGTAAAATTTAAAAAATATAAAATTTTGTTTAAAATTAAGAAAAAATTTATGGAAGGAAAAAAGAAAAGGTTAAAATGATTTACTTGGATTACTAATCAAACGCATACACAATAATAAACGTTTTCTTGCTGATTCATTTAGATCACAAATTAAAATATTTTGATAAGTAATAAGATCAAACTCTTGAAGGAGTAAATTTATCTGAAAATCTCGACTTGATAGTTTTATTATAAATTTAATATAAATTTCAAACAAATACTTATTGTTATTTCATTCCAAAAATTTTGCTCTTTGAAAAATTTTAACAATAATTTCTCCTAAATTATTTTTTATTTTTTAAAAATTTTACTCTTTCTGTTATTTCTTGATCATTTAGATCGGAAATCATTATACCAGCTTGAAATTTAAGCATAGCACGAATGCTTATCGTTTCAATTAGCGCCTGATTGAAATTTACAAATGCGCAAATAGAATCAAACATTTGACCTAAAACAATTTTTCATCCTTTCATTCCAAAAAAATTTTACTCTTTAAATGATTTCAATAATATTAAGTCAATTAGAAATTTTCTTTTTATTATTATCAGCATATAATTTTATTGATAATAACAATATTTACAAGTTTATCAGTAAAATAAATATTTGAAATGAAATAAAGTTAAGTAATATCTACGTGTAAGTTGTTGTTGATTAAGTGTTATTGTACCCGTAAATTCTCCACAACATCTTCCCGAGATTATTTTCAATAATGTCGTTTTACCACTACCTAAACAAGTTTACCTGTAAAAAAGTCATTCTTTTTCGCAATTGATTTATCTAATTTATTCATACAAAGAAATTTGCATTTGAAATTTGCTAATTGAAAAATTTCTTTCCTTTTTCTTTCTTTTTTTTTTTTTTTTTTTACTTTCATTCCAGTTTAACTGCTTTCTCTTTTGTCACATTTTTTCATTACATATTTTAATCAATCAATAAACAATCAATCAATAAGCAATCAATCAATAAGTATATACCTATCCTCTAAGATATACCTATTCATATTCACTCGTTGTGATAAAAATGATATAATTGATTAATAACTGCTTGTGAGGAATTAATTTTTTGCCTTAATTTATTACTAACTTTTTTTTTTTTAAGTTATTATCAATTTGTTTTTTTTTTTTTTTTTTTTTAAATTAGTCATTTCATTTCGGAAGCTTTTTTTTTTTAAATCAGTCTTTTCATTTCGGAAGTTTTGTTACTTTGAATCTACAAGTAAAATATAATAAATTAATAGTTAAGAATTATGATATCAGAACAGATAAACATACCAGCACTACCGATAATACCATGGATCTCACCGGATTGAACCACAATCGAAATTTCTTTCAGAAATTGTGCGGTAACTTTGGATGATGTATAATTGTACCTGAAAAAAATTATTTCAAACATTTTGTTCAAAAAGTTAATTTGCTTAGCATTTGGATGATAAATTCCATAAAGCAAATTATTGCAATAGGATTTCATTTCAGGAATAACAGAAATTATAACTTTTTCCTACTAAAAATTAATTTAATTAATTTTTATAACTTTTTCACACTGAAAATTGATTTTTAATTAGCATATGAATTTAACACAATAAATTAACTTACTCTAATCTTTTACAGAATTTTTACTTAGCTTTTTTCTCTCTAAGAGATTTGTCTCTCTTTCTCTCTCTCTCTCTCTCTCTCTCCCTCTCAAAAGTATCCAGTAGAATTTCATTGAAAATAACTTCCTGTTTAGCTCGATTATTCTCATATTTATTAATTTCTATGCATGTTTTTTTTTTTTTTTGCCTCTTTAAAAGAGTAATATTATACCATTTAGATGGTGTAATTGTACAAGTACTCGAGACATTACGGCATTCAAAGACATATAATTCATCCAACATAGCTATTATCACTACGATTTTGGCGGAAATGGAGTAATGGATAAATGCGCATTGCTGAAATTATTATTGTTGGTTATTATTTTTAGTTAAAAAAAAAGATATATATGATATCTTACATTTTAATAGTTTTGAGTCTGAGTGCTGTTACTTTAGATAATTGTTAACTTATGGCTTCATTATCAATTATAGGTCATCTGCACTTTTTGATAATAGCCAGTAGTCAAAGAGCCAATATAATTTAACGACATTTGCGCCATTAATATTAAAATGTTGAATAAATGCAACTAAAACTTTTCTATTTGAAATTTTTGCACATCTATGATGATAATGATGATGATGATGCAATATAATTTAACGACATTTGCGCCATTAATATTAAAATGTTGAACAAATGCAATTAAAACTTTTCTATTTGAAATTTTTGCACATCTATGATGATAATGATGATGATGATGCAATATAATTTAACGACATTTGCGCCATTAATATTAAAATGTTGAACAAATGCAATTAAAACTTTTCTATTTGAAATTTTTGCACATCTATGATGATAATGATGATGATGATGCAATATAATTTAACGACATTTGCGCCATTAATATTAAAATGTTGAACAAATGCAATTAAAACTTTTCTATTTGAAATTTTTGCACATCTATGATGATAATGATAATGATGATGTGTTCTGTGTTCTGTGTAATATTTTATGTATGCTTTAGCACTGATTGATTTACCAACAATTTTGTTTGTGTTTTAAAAATTATCTGCAAAATGAGAATATTGTTAAGTATAAGAGAAAGAATCTTTCATCGATAAAAAAAAAAAAGAGCCATCAAACAAACGCCATTTCCCATCAAAAAAAGAAAAAAGAAAAAATTCATTATTACAATCTTTTCAATTTTTGCATTTTTATTGTTATTGTTGTTGCTGTCATTGTTGTTGTTGTTATTGTTGCTGTTATTGTTGTTGTTGTTGTTATTGTTGCTGTTATTGTTGTTGTTGTTATTGTTGCTGTTGTTGTTGTTGTTGTTGTTGTTATTGTTGCTGTTGTTGTTATTGTTGCTGTTATTGTTGTTGTTGTTATTGTTGTTGTTGTTGTTATTGTTGCTGTTATTGTTGTTGTTGTTATTGTTGCTGTTATTGTTATTGTTGTTGTTGTTGTTGTTATTGTTGCTGTTATTGTTATTGTTGTTGTTGTTGTTATTGTTGCTGTTATTGTTGTTATTGTTAGAAATATTCCAAAAACAACAATGAAAAATTATTTTTGTGAGTTTTCCTTATCGTACAGAAAATGTTAACACAAAACAATAATGTTTTTAGTAGAGAAACAGTGTATTAAATTTATAATATAATTACTTTTTATTGGTATACATAAATAATTACTCGTAATTATACCTTATTGCATTAAGTACATCAAAGTCAAATGTATGAATAATATTGCAACTTTCATTATCGCAATTGACGGATGAAATAAAACTAAAAAATTTGAAGAAATCATTTAAAATGATTTAAAAAAAAAAAAAAAAATCTTATTATCGAGAATATTCTGAGAATTCGTTATGATTGTAATGAAAATTTCTGAGCAACAATTATGATAAAATATTTGTCAATAAAACTTAAACAAATGTAATTTCAAACAAACAAGCAAATATGATATGAATTTAAAAAAAAACAATTAAAAGTAATATTTTAGAGTTAAGCTAATATTAATAAAATTGAAATCATTGTATTTTGAATGTTTAACTATTTTTGTTAATGGTTTAATAAAAATGCTATCGCTTATTTATTTTAGTAAAAAAAAAAAACATCATTAAAAATTTTTAGAAATATGATAGAAAGGTATAAATTGATAATTATTAAGAGATAAACACTTGAATATTTCATTGAAATATCTGATCATAGAATTTTTTTTTCTTTTCTTTTTTCAGGTAGCATTTGCTTAAATCACAAATTTATTGCATAATTAAATAATTTTTTTTTTTTTCAGATATATTGTGATATAGAAAGCTGATCAATTGATTAATGATTTGATACAGAAAGCTGATCAATTGATTAATGATTTGATATAGAAAGCTGATCAATTGATTAATGATTTCTGATTAATGATCAACTGACTAAGAATGATCATCGATATGCCATCTTATTATATCAACGATTATTTTATAATCATTCATTTATGTTTAATTTTATAATCTAAAATATAAATCCTTTACACACATGTGATTTTGAAACATTGATTTCTCTTATCATTCTTAACAGAAGAAATAAATGATTAAGAATTAGGAAATCCGTAATCAGTAAGTTAGGATTTAATCATGAACGATTGATTATCATTTAATTATGAACGATTGATTATCATTTAATCATGAACGATTGATTATCATTTAATCATGAACGATTGATTATCATTTAATCATGAACGATTGATTATCATTTAATCATGAACGATTGATTATCATTTAATCATGAACGATTGATTATCATTTAATCATGAACGATTGATTATCATTTAATCATGAACGATTGATTATCATTTAATCATGAACGATTGATTATCATTTAATCATGAACGATTGATTATCATTTAATCATGAACGATTGATTATCATTTAATCATGAACGATTGATTACCTACCTATTTATAAAATGATGTATTACACATTTTATTATTCACTTTAATCTTTCCTTCTTAACAGAATTTCAATTCATTTAAATAAATAAATAGGAGAGAGGAAGAGAAAGAGTGATAAATGATAAATTTTAATTTTTTAATTCTACTTTCAAATTACACAGATAAGAGAAAGCACCAAAATTTGAAACTTTATTGAAATGAACTAACAACAGCATTTGATTAAGATTATTTTAAATATTGTGCTGTTTATGAATGATATGTAAATATAAATAGATGATGTCCCTCAAATTATATTAAGTGGTTAAAAAGGATGTCATCGTCAATTAAAGTACATCAATCTAAAATTTTACTAAAATATTTTTATATAATCCTCATTTTATTGTCAGTAAGAGGCGAAAACTTGAAATTAACAAAATTAGAAAATTTCTCTTAGAACAGGAAATGAATGATAAATGAAAGGGAACCTGATTTCCTTATTTGATTTGTCGAATTGCTGAAATTATTTCAATCATTCATCCATCATCAAACAATTAATTGGTCTTTTTTCCTCAGCACAAGGGAATGTACCAAAATTGTTCCATCTTGATTTTAGCTTCAAAATTTAATTTTTCCTATTAAAACAAAAAAAAAAAAGAGAGAGAGAGAGAATATCAAATGAAACAAAATAAAAATTAATATTAAAAATGTTAAACAATAATAGATTTCAAAAGTGATTAATTATTTTTAACTGATTAATTAATTATTGATTATCCAATTCAAAAATTAATTATTTTTAATTTATTAAAACAAAAATCCATCTAATTTGATTGTTCAGAGTAATCAGTCGTTTGATTTCAATGATAATTTAAATTTAATAGCTTTTATTATTTCATTTGTAAAAAAATAACGTTAAACGCTTAAGTTTGAAATTTACATAAATTATTGAATATATATAAATTAAATATCAAGAATTCATATAAATAGAAACATAAATATCTTATCGCTTTTATATTTGTTTAACTTAGAAAACGTTCAGTTTAATAAATTATATAGAATTATGATGTAGTGATATGATATTCTTTATGTGATAAAGAATAGTCCAAGGCAATTCAAGATTTCAGTACATTTTGATATTTCATTAAAATAATTAAAAAAAAAAAAATTTCATTAAAAAAAGTGAAGAAGTTAAAAAATTTAATTTATCGATTACCAATTTATCATTTATAATGCCAAAAATTCGATGTGCTTTTTTTAAACCATTTTTTATTTCCATTTGTTGTTATTTCATTTATGGTCTACTCATATACATTTTGCTACCATTTAATTTCACCTACTTCAAAAATTATCATTATTCCAAAGTGATCACTAGCATTTAAAATTTTAGAATATAGTATTTTTGAATGAAATAAAGTGGAATTGTAACTAAATTTAAGTTTTGGCCTGAAAGTTAAATGGTCTGGAACTTAAATCCAAGATTATATATGTTATTTATATTCCGGAATAAGTAGGAAATACTAGAGGAAAATAAAAGAAATTAATAGGATTTAAGTTTCAGATCACTCGACTTAAATTAATATTGAAATTATTATTCCACTGATTTCAGTGAGAAAGATTTGCGGTATATTCCACCGTTGAAATTTAATCCCTCGTTTAATCATCTTTGCAATTCAAACCGATATTTGATAGTGAGAAAGTGGGTAATATATGAATTAAGTTCCAGGTAATATATGAATTGAGTTCCATAAAACAATATAATTTTTAGGCCAAAAAATTTTTACTATCCACCAAAAAATAGTAAAAGAAGAAAAGTCATTTTCTAATGAACATTTCCTATTCCATTACACTGTAAATTATGATGAAAACGGAGAAAATCTCTAAAATTTCCAGTAAAACCTAACAGTAGAAACTGATAAAACCAACCAGATGTAGGTATCAAATTTCATGAATAATAGGGCCTCCGATTCGAATAAAGTGCATAAAACTTCATTTCAAAGTTTATTTTTTTATTGTTGACTTTTCTGGAAAATAATTAAAAAGAGTTATTGGTGAAGTAGCTGAGCGCACTTCTTTTCTCACATCAAAGAATATGACAATAATCGAAATTTCATTTCAATCCGATTCACTTATTAAACATTTTTACCCGTCAATTTTGAAGTTGTCTTAATCATAGAAGCTCAGAACAGCACCACTCAATCAGCTGATCATATCAAATATTATGCAGAATCGAAATCAATTGAATGTCATTAGGACTGATTCAGGTTTGAGATTCCAAGTTCGTTTCAGTTTTCCCCCCGGAAGCAGTTGAAACAAATACTTTAAAGTTCGATAATGAAATTTCTGGTTATAATTTCTACAAAACTAGACGTAATCATCAATGCAGTTCCTTACAGATGTTTGAGAATATAATACAAAACTAAGATTTTATTGAATAGAAATAAGGATTACATATGGCTCTAATTTTGTAATGGAAGCAATCGAAATACATACTTTAAAAAGCTATCATGAAACAAGAACGATCATGAATTAAAAGGACTTTTTACAACGAAGCACTGACTACATGCCTCTAGACAATGGATGATCACCCCAGTATTCTGGATCCGGTGCATCGTCTGGTGGGATTCCTAGTTCTTCATCCGAAAATTCTTCTGGAGAAGGAATATAATATTCACCCTACAACATGGATGCATATATTTTGCAAATAATATTTGGCTTTACTAGAAATTAAAATTGGGGAATTTAAAAATTCGTGATATGAAATCTATATACAAAAAAAAAAAAAAAAAAAAAAAAACGAAAAAAACTAACGATCAAGTCGCCATAGTTGTAATACAAATGATATACAAACCAGCCCCACAGCAAAGAACTTGTTAAAGTGATCATCAAGTTTTCCAGACGTGTGGTGCTTTGAGGTGGTGCTTCCCGATAATACCACCTATAATGAAGTTAATAAAATAAAAATTACTGTACAACATCTAAACTAGTAGGTAATGATATTAAGAAATTAATATTCAGATAACAAGCATGAACTATCAGCCTCCTTCTTCAGACTCTAAAATGATGACTCTGTGATGATTTTTATAAATTGCAAAAAAATCCGAAAGAAACAAAAAAGATTCAAAGAAGTTTTTTTAACTAAATTCTGCTCAGTTTCCATACATCTGTAATGGTGGGTCATCTGGTTCACCAAGATATGGTTTATCCGTTGTATTTGTGATCGGATCATCATCTGCTCCACTTTTTGGACCAACAGCTATTTCTGGGCCTTCTGCATCCTGAAAAAGACAATTATCCTTCACAGTTATTTGCAGATAATTACGCGAAGACCAGATATTAACTGAATCTCATAGAAACACCAACCTTTCCTGACAACCACTTTGTCCTTAAGGCACCATTAGACGACAAGATGGAAGGTGCATAACGCAAAAATGCAAACTTTCCTATCGGTCTCAAAATTCTCGAACACTGAACAGCACGTACCAACAACATCGTTCAACCGCAATGCATAACATACACTGAAATACATGAATGGTACCTAATGAATTCCATACATTTTCTGATAGAACAAATGAATTAATAAGCTCTCAACCAGTCACAGTTAAATAACAAATAAATGTGATAATTTAGTTAAAAAAGTATAAAATCACATAAATATTCAATAATCTGTGAAAACTAACTGTAAACTCTCCTCTCAGTGATAATCTACAAATTTTATCAGTGGTCTTTCTCGTTTCCTTATGAATTATTATCTTACTTCAATCCATATTACAGAAACTATTTTTTAAACTATTGAACTTTGTAAAACATCCCCCTTAACAGTATCGCCTGATTACTACCATATCCTCTCTCCCCGTCCCCCGTACCTCCCAAAACCCCGAACCACCTCACCTCACCTCAGCACCGTTCTACCAGAGAATGGTCCCTCTATGAAACAATGCACGTCTCAGACTCATCTTCGAACAACTTACAAGGACAAACTTAGGATGCAAGAAGTATGTTCAATTAATTTGAATTAATCTCTTAGATAATTTAAATGCTATAAAATCTCTCTTCAAATGAAATTATATTTACTTGAAAAATATTAGTTAGTGTTAAATATGCTAATTAATACTAATAAATATATCCTAATTAAATTAAATCTTTGCTTTTACTATCATTAAAACAAATTTTTTTAGCGTTTCTATTCTTAGATTTCCAATAATCACAAAAATAGCTCTTTCTAAATCAAATATCAAAATATATTTTAAAGTATCAAAATGTTAGTTGTAAAAAAAAAAAAAAAAAAAAAAAAAAAAGTAAAAAAGCTAGATGGATGAAACAGCTCTGAAATGAATGCCAAAAAATCATAAATACATCATTCTTTCATACATTTACTTTTTTCTTTTTTAAATTTTATTTTTTATTCATAAACAATGAATGAAAAGAGTTTTACAGAACCATTAAGCATTGTGTAATATGAATAACTCTGAGAAATTTATGCTTTCTGAGAGATGAAACACACTCATTAGAATAGCTAATTTGATGAGATGAGATGAGATGAGTCATTCATTTTTCTTTTCTTTTCTTTTCTTTCCTTTTATCTTCTCATCAACAAAAAATGTTAGATTAATTACAATTAGCTAATACAAGAAAGCAATTATTAATTTAAATATTTTCTATGTAATATCTAAAAAAAAAAAAAAAAGAATGAAATGAAATGAAACAAACTGATAGTGTCTCCGAAGTGCTTATTTAAAAGATGACAGATGCGCAAATGTAAACTGAATACTTCCCATCGGTTCACGGTATTATCAGCGCCGTGGATCTTTTTGATGGCGGTCTCTTGTCGATGAATACATTAACCGCATCATTTTCAGTTTTTTTTTATTTTTATTTTTTTTTCATCCTTCTGTTGTTGTTATGTTTGATGAAATAGATCGATATGATTCTTTTAATTTCATTTAAAATTTATGTGTTAGCTTGGAAAATTTCCAAATTAAAAGATTAATTTGAATTGTTTTTTTTTTTTTCAAAATATATTTTAGGTTAAATAAATTTAATTTTTGTCTTTTTCTTTTCATTTTCATTTTCTTTTTTATTATTATTTCAATTTCATGTTTTTTCAATATTTTTTTTATCATAGCTAATAGTTTCCTTTTAATTTCTTAATGAATGTTTTTCAAAAAAAAACTTTATTTTATGATACATATGCAAAAAGAATCATAAAATTCTCATTTTTCGAGATTTTTTTTCGTGAGAAAATTCAATTAGGTTCGTTCATCAATTAGTTTCTTCAAATTATGAAGTTTCAATACTCTCGAAAATTTGTTAGAGAATAATCTTGGAAAGATTAAAGCTAAATATTGTTATTTGTATCAATTCAATAGTTAACATTTATGGCAATTTATCATCTAAATAAAATAATAACCAAATTGGCGAGTTTATCTTAAGATATTATCAGAGTCAGAAACGAGAAACTGATAATTGTGATAACAGCGCATTATTTTTTTTTTTAAAAAAAAAAGAAAAAATCTTTAAATCAGAAAGGGAAGCAAATTTAATTCTATAATTCATTATTAATTGATAAGAACTATTGTTAGTCTCAATTAATAATTTAATTTCGTAGAAATTGATTTCTTATCATATCTTTTGCAGTTTCATTAAACCTTCTATTAAATTTAATTTAATTCTCTTATCCAACAGCATTTCTGAATTTAAATTTTAAAACATACTTGCTGGGCTTAATCCAATTTTTTCTTTGTTTTTGAAAAATTTATCCCGCAAATAGCTAGTTTAATCGAAGATTTAAAATTAAAAGAATTTATTTTATAATCATTAAAAGTTTCAACTATCCAGTAACGAAGAAATTTTTTTTTTATTTAAAAATTTTCATCAAAAGTATTTAATCAAATAATTTATTGATGCATGTAATATAATTTTTTTTTTTTTTAATGTTGAAAGAAGTTTTCCAAATTGCTCATTTATTTTCTTAGTTTTTCAAATTATTTTTAGCTTATCGCTGTATAGTTAGCATATTTTTGAAAGTAGTTATAATTTTTGTTTTTTGTTTTTTTGAAATGCTAAAAATACTTTTAATTAAAGAAATGTTCCTTTTTAAATCTTACTTAAGAATCCTTCAAGTAGAAAAATGTTCTAATTTAGACTTAAATGTTCTTTCGCTAATTTTTGAATTGCTTAAAAGCAAGCTTACATGAAATGATTGATCATTTAAAAATATGCAAATTGCAGGAGAGACAAATAATCTTTGATTGTTAAAAATGAATGCAATATTATTGGCATTAACTTCAATTTGGCTATTGTCATTATTTTCAACACTAATTTCAGCTTCTATTATTTGCATGTCATGTGCTACAAAGAATGCTGTTGCTGTAAAATTTAATAAATTTTAATTTAGTTTTTTAATTTATTAGAAAACAATCTGCAAATTCAAATTCAAAAAAAAAAAATTATTTCCTGAAATTAATCCATTCATTTATGTTATGTAGAAATTCATTATTAGTATTAAAATATTATGGAATTTGGAAATTCAAAAAAAAATTTAGAAAAAAAGAATTCAAAAATTTCAAAAAATTAAAAAACTTAAAAAGAAATTAATTTAGAAAAAAGAATTTAGAAAAAAGGAAGAATTTAAAAAAAGCAAAAAATTTAAAAATTTATTATTAGTATTAAAATATTATAGAATTGGAATAAATTTGTGAATTATCGAATAATAAATCCTCGTACTGGTAGATTGATGGATGATTATCCATGCGATAATCCACAAAATTTGACCTGCAATGGTTTATGCTATATTTTTCAAATTAGTGGAATCAATAAGGTGGATGGAACAAAACAACTTTATGGTATGTTGTTTATTTTTTATTGTTAACTATGGTATGTTGTTTATTTCTCTATTATTAATTATGGTGTGTTGTTTATTTTTTATTGTTAATTATGGTGTTTTGTTTATTTTTATTGTTAATTATGGTGTGTTGTTTATTTTTTATTGTTAATTATGGTGTTTTGTTTAATTTTTATTGTTAATTATGGTGTTTTGTTTATTTTTATTGTTAATTATGGTGTGTTGTTTATTTTTTGTTGTTAAATAAGGTATGTTGTTTATTTTTTATTGTTAATTATGGTGTGTTGTTTATTTTTTATTATTAATTGTGGTGTGTTATTTATTTTTTATCATTAGTATTTGTTAATTAATTTATTTTTAAAATACATGTTAGCAATACAATTCATCCAATTAGCATAGTTTTATCATTTTTAGCATAAGAATATTTTTTTTAAATATTGGAAACAAAAAATGGTTTTGCATCAAAATGAGAAAAAAAAAAATACAAACGTATAAAAAAAAAAAAAAATCTAAAAATAAAATTAAAAAAGTTTAGTAAACATTTCCATGTAATAAATAAAATTTTTTTATGTTTGATGTAGTAAATTTATGATTTAAAAAATGACAATTGTCATTTTATGATTTATTAGTCAGATATTTTTGATGATATTAATTGCAAATTAAAAATGGTAAAATTATTTATAGTTATAAAATTTGAATTAATATTATTTAAAATTAACAAAAAATTTAATAATTTACTATCAGTAAAAAGGATAATGATTGAATATTTCAAAAATTAAAAATATTTTTTGATTTAAATTTAATTTAAAGCAATGGCACAAGGTTGTTCAGTTGGACTTTTCGACGGCGAAGTACGATGCTTTGATCGACCGATTATAATGCTCGGCCGAGGTGGTAACTTTCATTTATACGGTCGTTACTGCTTATGTAACGGTAATTTGTGCAGTGAAAAAACGGAAATATGGATTCAGCATGGTCAAAAGAAATTTTACGCTCAAAGGCAAAAAGGCGGTAAACAGATTTTATTTATGATAAATTATTTTCAAACAATTTATCAATTAAATAAAACCTTCCACAAATTCAATCTTTCAGAATTAAACGATTAAAAAGTTTTTTTTTTTTTTTTTGCTAGAAAAAATTTTTTTAAATTTTTGTTAAAACAATAGCAAGAGGATTTTTTCATACTGTCACTTGAAATTGTGATAATTTCCAGCTAACACTTTTGTAAAATTAAAAATTTTTTTTTTAAACAATTTTCTAAAAGATCAAATGATCCAATGAATCAATATTTCATTGATTTTCCTAATAAAGTGGAAAATAAATAATTTGTAAAACTTTTGAAACATTGCTTATTCTAATCTATGATGCATGCATGATGACCTTTGACTTTTTTGAGTTGTTTACATTTTACTTTTAGTCTGCTTTAATTGGCCTTATGATCATATGCCAAAGAATAGACTTGGCCATAAACTATATTTGACCCAACTATAATTGATGAAACTACTTATTAAACTGAAATTTACATTTAAACATAATTTTAAGCATTTTATTGTCAACTATAATTAATATTTGGTACTTCAAACAAATTTACTCCGCAATAAAATTAAAATTACCAATGGGTAATGAAAAAAACAACCTAGAATTGTTC